GGATAAGCAATTTATTGCTTCATTATATTTGTCCAAAAGTTTTGTTCTCTTGATAATAATTAGGGTTAGCTGAGGAAAGGCATATTTTTGTGGAAAAGCCAATGAGAAGAAAAAATTTTCATGGTGTTTTGGAGATTCCAGTTTCGTTTTTAATTATTAGCTCTAGTCTAAATTTTGTATCCTGCCTCTGGTCCTTACGAGAACTGTTTTGAGCTTCTGTAAAGCCAATTAGAATTGTTAGCACAGTTAACATATGCATAAGAGTTATGCTATCTGCAAGGGTCAGACATTATTTGCTTTCCATCTTTGTGAAGCAAAGGTGAATAGTGGTTCTCGTACTGTATCTGCAACTTGTCTTGAGATTTCATTTGTTCCATAATTGTGTGAGGTTCTTGGTTCTGTTTGCTTGCTTTTGTGAGTTGGTGAAGATCAAGCAATAGATCTTCGACACTTAATTGAGTGACGTACAGTCTTTACGAGTTTGTGCAGTAGTGATTTTCCTCCAAGATGGAATAACTTTCTAACATTACTTTACTGTCTCAATTACAGCGGCCCAGTGCCAAGGAACTTCTGAAGCACCGCTTTATAAGAAGTGCCAGGAAGAGTAGGCTTCTGGAGCGAATAAGGTGTAATTTCTTGCTAATGCCATCTCATGCAAATTTTTTTGTTTAGTTTTTTGTAAATCGCTTGCATGTCAGCTAGATGCTAACGTATCTACGTAATAATAAGCAATTATGAGAACCACCTACAAGACTTGAACTGCGAAAGGTAGCGATTAAATTCATATGTTTATGCCCCTCTTTCCCATTGCAAGAGAATTTTGGAATAAGAGTGTCTTTCATGGTGTCTATGCCTTAATGCTTTCGTGACAGAGAGCGTCCAAAATATCCAATAGTGGAAGACGGAGAAACACCGATGATTGGTAAAGGTTTAATGGAGGGATCAGACACTGTGAAGGTGAGAAGAGACATAAAAGGAGAAGAGACAGTAAGAACCAGGTGGGTATATTGTTGTTGTCTTCTTTGTTATGCAATTGAATTCTGATTCTCTCTAATTTATCTGCAGTAATCAAGGGCGAGGAGTGAAGAATGCTGGATGGGATTTCAGCATTGGTGGAGTGCAGGGAACAGGGACTGTTAGGACTAATCTATTGCCACCTCAAGTCAGAGAGAGGAAATCAGAGAATTCCCACAATCAGGCTACCCCTAGAAGAATGGCAGACGGTGGTAACTCATGGTTGTCTGCATCTGGAAATGCGCCTCAGTCTTCAGAAATATCACTCCGGAAAGATGCTAGAGATTTGCATTATAATAATCACCACGATGACGTGAATCTCTCTCTCTCTCTTTCTGTCTCATGTGCATATGTGCAAAGAAATTTTTGTTCTCCATGGAGTTTTGTGCTTGAATTTGTGATGTTACCCTCGGATTACTTTGCATGTGTTCTTGTCATAGATACTAGAATAAAACCTGATAATTCTGAAACTGGATCGGGGAATTGAATTATATAAGGCGCCAAATAATTAGGAAACTTGAGAATCTGGTCGGAGATTTATCCAGCCAACTGATGATCTTAGACTGGTTTTGATATTATTTAATTCGAAAACTAACTAAAAGTCAAATCAATTGTTCCAAACAAATGTGGCGCCAACTTATGTGAATATAGTGAGATAATTGTTTCCTTTACCTTTAAAAGACAATGAACCTTTACCTCTAAACATTAATAATAAACAGATGTATTCATCTTTGGGCAAGTGATGCAGCAGCGGGGAGGGACGGGGTGGGGATTAGAGGTAGGGGTTTTCAAAAAAATTTTAAAACGAATTGAAAGTTAAAGAAAGAAAGAGAATAACTTTTTTAACATCGGACTGATTAGAACGATTTTTTCTTAATCCACAGAGTCCTTATTTTTGTTTATTTTTACATACTATTTCTATGGTGTATTGGGAGTTCTATGAGATTTTCTTTACCTTATATACCCGAATGCTTGATTATAGGAAGATTTGTCTTTGAGCGGATCGGGTACTGTTGTGGTACGAACTCCTAGAGAATCTCAATCATCACCCTTGCTTCTCGATCAAAGCTCTCTGGTAAGTCTTCTTCAAGTATGATAGCATCATAGGCTGATGAAGTCTCTTCATTATAGTGCTGCGTTGGGCATTCGTCTGATGGATCTTCATGCAACATGTAGTCTAGCAGCTCGTACGCTTCTATTGAAGATGCTTCTACGACAGGAACTGTAGTTTTCCGGGGTCAGCACGACGAGTCTGATTCTCCTCGGACACCAAAATCAAGACTTGGGATTCAGGAGAGAAGTTCCAGTGCTTCGCTGGAAGACAGTGCAGCAAACCTTGCAGAGGTTATTTTGGTTCTCTGTCCTTTTTATTTTCAATAGTGCCTTTTAAGATAAGTTGGCCTTGAATGAACAGAAATTGAATGCACACCTTTTCCCTATTTCTGCATGTCTCTGTGTGTCTGCCTTGCATGATGATAAATGATGATATATCAGAAGCATCTATAGTCTACATTTATCATCACTGTCCACAGACTCAGGGGAACAATTGGTATCGAAATTTTAGAAACATTTGCAATTTATTACCTGATCTTTTGATTCACAAAGTTTCCATTTCCTAGTCGAAACTTGATCTTTATTTAGGGGTTATAAGCCCAAAAGTTGATTTTGAATTTAGCTCAGAACAAGTTAATTGATTTGTCTATGAACGATAGATATTTTCCAGTGAAGAGTAGCCTTTTTGTTGGTTCTGTTATGCAGGCTAAGGCGGCTATGCAAGGGGCTCTTAGAAGAGGAAATGCAAGAGAAAAGAGGTCTGTCCTAGGTAAGTTCAGTGATGGGCAGGAAAATGGAAATAGAGAACAACTATCAAAAAGCTCTGATTCGTCAAGGTAAATTTTGTTGGATGTACAGAAATCCTACTTCTGAGAGAAAGCATAGCGTATAATCTTGGAGCCATTCTTCAGGAATTCATACGAGTATTTTGATGCTCATAAAGTTCTCCCAAGATCCCGCCAAGCAAGCGACGATGAGGAGATTGCAAAAATATTATCTTCATCTGTCCCATTGTCGGTTCTGCTCATCCCTTCCTTGAAAGAGGTGCGCACTCTTGCCAGGTGACATGCGGATTACACTTGATAGATGTGACAAGTTAGAAAGTTCATAGATGTTTCTACTGTGATTCGTCACATGAGCTGGGAATTCTATCAAAATGTCTCCCATATAAGGGGTTGAGAAACTATAGATGCCTGGTCCATCTCATGTTCTTATATTGCTATAATCGTGCTTAGTGCCAGGTGTGAATTAGTCAATTTGCATGGAGTTGACTTGCTGACAATTCCAGACCATTACCTCATTACCTCTTGCATATAGTTTGAAACTTTAAACGTGGGGTTTGTTTCATTTTTTTATTAAAAACACGCATACCAATGCTTAGGTTTATCTGTGTTTGAGGTCGCTGACATGATACCTTTGTTTTCGCTGCTTCACGATGTGGACTTTGTGTTATAAAATTTGATGTGGTTGCTTTGCTGACTTCTATTAGGCAACTGGCGATGACTCTGAGGGGCCAGTTGTCCATGCTGTTTCAAACTCACTCACGAACATGGAGCGCATGAAGCCAGGATCGTGTGAGGTTCTTATCAGCAAGTTGCTACAGAGATTGGCAAGGTTTTTGATCTCTTTTATCTTCTTTTTACTTCAACCTTATTAGAGCTAGTTTTATCATAAGGAGCTCACATGGAAGTGCTGTGTGGGCAGTTCAAAAGAATCCTCGTTGAAAGACTTGCAGGATCAGGCAACTCACATCTTTTCAAAGGGCAAGATATCCCCAGAAAAATCGGGAAATGCCAACACTGAAGTTGATAACCGCAAGAAACAACAGAACAAAGAATTCAATTCTAATGCTAATTTGAGCCCACTGGCAAGATTTTTGCTCTCAAGGTTTGTCCGACGACCTCCTTGCCCTCAAATAATGCCCTACTGGCTATATTTGCTGAAATTTAAATTCAGAAGAGGTACCTGTTCAAGTTACACTAACCTGATAGAATTTTAATTCTAAGATAATTTCCGGATTGAACGGTTCGATAAAGTATAGGCCTAAAATATAGAGTATTTGGGTTATCTGCACCCATCCCCGTCCATAATAAGCGGGGAGAAAGACGCTTTTCACTTAGCTCATGAACGGGGACACACCTCCTGAGTTTGAGTTTATGCTTTTTTTAGAGGATTTTATATGATTAGGAACTCCAAAAGGGCTTATCTGGTTGCGTCTTGTGCAGATGGCAAGGCCAAGTATCCCGAGATCTTAACCCAACTTGAGAGAGAAGACGGGGGAATAGTATCTATTTGTTTGTATTGTGCTTCCATATCGATGCATTTATTCTGATTCAATGTACATAGAAATGATAGTGTATTTATTAGCAACCGACCTTTGTCTGAGTAATTTGCCTCTAATGGTAGAGTTGCTGGGTGACTAGGAGGTTTGTTGTTGGTGCACTAACAATGTAAAAAAAGAAAAGAGACCATCATTCTTATTTGCCGATGGTTGATTTTGGCTTTAGTTGTCTAGTCAGAGTTTTGCCGCTGTTTTCGATCAATACAAACAAGAGCAGTACCATGGATTTGACAGGGTAGGTCTCTCTCTCTCTCTCTCTCTCTCTCTCTGTGCACGTGTGCATGTTGGTAAAGATCACTCAGTTGTTTTTGTGCCATGCTTGTACTCGGAGAGTGTGAGTTTGTGCGTTCGTAGAGCAGGCTTCTGGGCCTCCCGTCGACCACGGCTAAGGTACCGTTAGTAGTTTGCCACCTTGATTTGGAATGACATTGACATAATCTGGCTGATGACTCTTTCCTTGATGTTCAGGCCGCCTCGAGCTCTTTATCTTCTTGTGAAAAACTTCCAATTACCAGATTTACTGAACGAATTTACATGACTTTCATGTCTGTCCACACGACCTTCACTCGCTCATGTGACACCGGACCGAATATCAAGCTGATAAATACTCTCACCTAACACAACATCGATTACCTCAGCTAAGAAACAATTTACAGCCGATATCTGTTGTGCAAAACTGCCCAAGCAAAGCTCAAGCAACTCGTCCAACATGATTTGCCCTCTAAAACTATCAGAAAAACCAGCGGAGCAAAATTTCACATTTCGCAACATTCCGCGAGGGAATTTTATTTTCACCATCTTAATGGTGGCATATGACATGTACCACATGTACCATGCAAAGAAGCAGTCATTTCTATCACGTCTTCACCTTCAGCACTACTGCGGTTATGGGTGTAAGCATGAGTTTGTGTAGAAGAGCTCATTAATCCTGGGTAAATCCGCATCCTGTCAAACAGCAAGTTTCTCCTTGTTTGGCTCGGGGTTTCTACCTCTTTTTATGAGGAGGTTTTGATGGAGTCAGTTTCCGGAACGCAGCATGTAAGATCAAGGCTACAGATATGTTCAGAGTTATTAGAAGGCTCACAGCTAAGGAATAGAAATGATCGAGATAAAGGAAGTTTACTCACCAGCATAACTGACACAGAGCGCACAGAAAAGTGCCATTTGGACGTTGCACCATATCAAAATAACAGCAGTTACTGCAAAATTTCATACAGTCCTTCTATTATGATTTGTATATGTAAATACATAGAGGTTAGCTATAATAAAGCTGGTGAGTGACACAAACGTCAGAATATGTAAGGCAAAGACAACAGCAAGGTACATTAGTCAGATGCTCAATCCATAGAATCACGAGTATGAAAAAATTGTATGGCAATATTTGAGGAAGAAGAGCATATGCACACGGGGTAAAAAAGGAAGGAGGACTAGGATTAATTCGAAGGCAAGAAAAACAGCCCTACAAAAAAGGAAGGTGCATTCAACCAGCCATAGGACAGCAAGGAGTACATCAGATGATTTAGGATGAATATAAGCATCACTAGGGGCTTCAGTATGACTAAACCTCTGGAAAGACATTTTCCGTTTTAATTCATTTTAGCAATAAGAGAATAAAAGCAGCAGCGCATAACGCAAAGAAACTCGGAGATTTAAACCAGATATAAAGACAATTCAAAAGCATGTAAGATGTGAATATAACAACTGAAATTCTAGAAAGACAGACCCTATGATTTTCAAGTGTCAGACGTAAACTTGTGAACTGGCAAATGTGATAATCAAGGTCCTTAGTCAATTACTCCAAACATCAGCAAATTCCTACTTAAAAACATACAAATCCAATCTGGTTTGGCAGCCAATTACTCCATAATAGTAGAAGGTTGGTGCTTAAACAACACCAAAAGGCATCAGTCTGAAACAACTATAATAAACAGAACAATCAATTGAGATCTCAAAAATACTTAAAAGACTACTTCTCCTGCAGATTGTATCAGAAAAAAATGTCCAAATAAGGAATTGCAAAGTTAAATACTCATTCCTAAGAAAACCTCTTAATGCTCAAGAAGGTAAAATTATGTTGCTATGAACGTTAGATCAATCTGGCAGGCAGAAGTCCAAAAGTCCCGTAATTTTAACAACACATCATACTCCTATAGGACCAAAACAGCTCATTCTTTTTATCATCTGTAACTTATTCAACAATTTCAATCCTGGAAGCACAACAAAGTAACCACATGTAACGGGAGAGTGCTTAACATTCTGAAAATCACAGTCTGAAAATCCGGTATCTTATTAATTGCTCAAAACACATAGAATTAACTTTCTTAGTCTTAGAGTCAATCATTCAGGCAAGCAAAAGTACATAGCCCTTAAGATTAATCACATATCGTAATCCCTAAGATCCAAGAATCCATATCATTTGTATCCTCTAGAAGCTTACTTTCAGCACTTCCAATCCTAGAAGCACAGAAGTGTAATCTGATGTAACTACAGAAGACTCTGACATTTTCAAGCATTACCTCTCAAGAGATTTGCATCATTTATCCCTCAAAATGTAAAAATATTGAACATGAATCCGAGTAAACGATAAGGCCATAGTGCATATCTGCATCTGTCCATCACTAAGATCCTTCACCACCACCACAGCTCCCAATCCCAATTCGAAATCCAATTGTCGCCTCTTGGAGGTGACCGTTGTGGTGGTGATGGGAGCCACGGTCTAATCATAGTGCCATTGATTGCAAATCAGATCTCAATACTAGGGTTAAGAAAAACTTATTACATTCGGCAAGATCCCAAGCCTTTAGCAATTCAAATCCAAGTTGGACTTAGCAACTTTTCATTCAATCATTCTACCAACAACAGGCCCATGACTTCTATCTCTCTCCAAGATAGCCTCATCGCCAAGTCCAATAGCATGGGAGGCATGTGGTGCATAATTGTTAAGCAATCTTGTTGTAATGAATGTGAGGTTGGCCAAGTTTTGGTATTAACAATCTCACTGAAAATAGGGAAAAAGAAAGCAGATGAAACTACATCATGTGTAACAAAACTGAGAGGTTGTGACCGGTGAGACATGAAGGTTCTAAAACCCAGCTTCAGAAGTGACTGCCAAAGAGTGAAGCATAATTGCCTTTTTATCTATTCTTCTAATAGGGAAAAGGAACAATTCAATCAGGAGAGAAACCAACCTTTTGCCATGGAGAAGAGAACAAGTATGCTTTCATCTATCCTCATATAATAATTTTAAGACGGTTCAATAATTTTTCGGAATGTTAACTGAAGGGAGCAAACAACATACCAATCTGGGCTGTGCGAACCAAAATTTGGCGAATTACAGGCCGTTGATCCAATCCCCACTTATCACTACTGAACTTAAAAAAATCCCAGAGTGCCAAACATGACAGCAGTCCAATAAGAGCAAATGGCATCTGGTACCTACAGCCCCCAAAATCAGAAGGAAACAAGCAACACATCATATGTCGGAACATCATATTTAGCCAAACCAAGGTCAAGAGAGACAGACAAGTTGCTTCGTGAGAAAGACACTATAAGAGGAAGAAATAGTGTGCTCATGTGACTGAAAAATCTTGATCCAGTATAAAGCATTCAAGCATATAGAACGAGTTCAATTATCTTTCCCTTCTAGAAGAAAATTCCGTGTGTCGTCTGTACCAGAACCGTAGTAAAACCACTCAACAGGACAATAAGATAGCTGAGGCTGTTCTACATGTCAAGAGCAAAAGTCATGCCATCAAATTGATATTCTTCACTTCGATATTAATCAAGTTGCTATGTTCGTAGTACAAATTTTTTTTTTTTTGGGGGGGGGGGGGGAGTAATCATCCTCGTGAACCAGTGATTTGCCACATTTCCACAGTAATCTTCCCCGACTTCTTTACTGACACGATAACTTTCCTAGCCAAACCAAGGTCAAGAGAGAAACAAAAAAAGTTCAATTTTGTGTAATAGACCCAACAAGAGGAAGATATGACGTGCTCAACCGAAGCGTGTCCCTTAGAAATATTGATCCAGAATGAAGCATTAAAGCATATACAACGAGTTCAATCATCTTTCCATTCAAAAAAAGAATCATCCGTAATCTGTAAAGAGCCGCAATGAAATGACCCGACCGGAGAGTATAGGTGGCTGAGGCTGTTCTATATGTCAAGAGCAACACTCATGCCATCAAACCTGTTCTATATGTCAAGAGCAACACTCATGCCATCAAACCGATATCTCCACTACCATAGAAATCAAGTCCTTCGGTCGGTGATTTGCCATATTTCATCAGTAATTCTCCAACAAGTCAAGGCTCAACAGGCAGAAACCATCATCACGGACACTCAAATATATATCGCACGAGCATGTGATCAAGGGAGAGAGATGCACTCACAGAGCACAAGCGAAGAAGAGGATGAACAGAGCGGCGTAGTTGCGGGCGAACCGCTTGACGTTCTCGTGGACCCTAAGCCGAGCCTGAGCGGGCGAGGACGGGAACGAGTACGAGCCGAAGTCACCGACGAAGCCGCGGGTCCAGGACGGGGTCTCGCCGGAGAAATCGTCGGTGGCGAGCTTCGACAGCGGGTTGAGCGTCGCGACGGACAGCAGGGTCCCCAGGCCAGAGAAGACGGCGGCGAAGATCCCGGGGGCGTAAGTGGGGTCGGAGGCGGCGCCGTCGCCGCAGGAGTAGGCGGCGGCGGCGGCGGCGGCGGAGGCGGAGGAGGAGGAGGATCGCTGGTCGAGGAGCTCGAGGTAGCCGGAGTCTCGGAGCCAGGACTCGAAGGCGGGATCGGGGACGGTTAGGGATAAGGGATTCGGTTTGAATGCCATCGGAAGAAGGAACTTCCGGGTCGTCGGTGGGGCGAGCTCGTCGCCGGAAAGTATTTGGCGCGAGAGACACAGAGGGCTCGGAGGGGCTAATGTGGCTTGGTGTTGTTTGTTCCTTAAGCTTTAGTCGATTGGATGCTTTGAATTTAGGGATAACGACACAAATAGTCCCTGAACTTTGACTTAACGTGTAATTTGATCCCTGAACTTTTAATTTAACGTGTAATTTGATCCCTGAACTTTTAATTTATTCAATGTAGTCCATGAACTTTAACATAATATTCAATGTGGTCCCTGAACTTTTAATATGTGTTCAATTTAGTCCCTGAACTATATGAAAATGTTTAATATAGTCCCTGCACTTGAATTAATGGAAGGACTATATTGAACATTTTCAAATAGTTAAAGGACTAAATTGAATACATATTAAAAATTCAGGGACCACATTGAACAAATCAAAAGTTCAGGAACTAAATTGAACATTAGGTTAAAGTTCAGGGATTACATTGAATAAATTAAAAGTTCAGGGATCAAATTACATATTAGGTCAAAATTCAAAAATTATTTGTGTCGTTTTCCCTTGAATTTAAGGAAGAAAAGATGTCCTGGAGATTTGTTTCTCCTCCCCCCGATAACTTCCTCGGGAAGGTTGCACCTTTTCAGACCATGATGTGCCATGGGCCATGGCCGATTGCATCCTTACGTACTTGGTGAACAACCGAATTCCGATCGAGATGAAGTGCAATTTAGAAAGGGCGAAGCGAAATACAGGTGTTTCGCCAAGATTAAGCGCAAAAAACTAACCAGACCAGACGGCGATTGGACCGGAGAATGCCGTCACGTTGTGAGATCGCAATGGAGCGGATCAAGCAAGTTCGAATTAGCGTCTTGAGATTCGAATCGGCTAAGGCGTGATTTAAAAAATATATGTTTTATAAAGTCGATCGCTCGTATTATTTTAAATAATTAAGTGACGAGAAATGTTTTATTATCGATAGCAATTTGAATATTTTCATGAATGGTAAAAATACTATTTGTTCGTAGACGAGCTACCATTTCTAACAAAATATATAGAATTTAAGGAAAAGATGTCCTAACATTTGTCCCCGTGGTAACTTCCTCGGGAAGTTGCAAACCGAAAACAAACAAACAAACACAAAATCCAAAGGAAGCCTATTATGGTGGCCATCTCTATCGATTGTTTCTTTTGAGAATTTAATCATTTGAACTCTAGATCATTCCCGAATTCTTAAGAAGATAAAGACAATCTTTTCTCCCAAAAACGGCTTTATATGGTACTTATTATTAAACGGGTGATACCCTAAAAAAACTATCTTAAACAAAAATCCTAAATTGGCATACGAATGTTATATTTACTCTAAATTAATTTTATGCCACAAAAAATCTCATATCACTAGAATTTTAGAAAATCCAAAACCGATTCGGGCACAATTAGAGATATGGAAAATGCCATTAAAAGAGAAACTTTTTAGGGGTGGGTGGTCGATTGAGGGACAAGATATAGGACAAGCGCGAGAGCCAGAATAAGAAGGCTATATGGTTGTTCCTAGCTTAGCCATAGCTATCATCTACCTCCAAATTTGGTGTGATTTGCATGAAATATGTCGATTGGATGCTAGACGCGACAGATATTAAAGAGTGACTCGAAATACTTATTTGGTCGGTCGGTGAGCTCAAGCTTTTATTTGAAATCGATTTGATCATTCCTTAACCATTATTTAAAATAATATCCGCTTTTGGCCCACTTTTCAAAACATGATCTCACTTCAAGTCCTAATTTGAAAATTTTCCAATTGTGTATTGTCGCATTGCAGAATGGGCAAAGATACGTCGTTGCCCAACCTCTACGCCGTCAGTCAAGACTCGAGACAGGAGTTCGACTTACGAGGATGTCGGTGAGTCGATTCGTCAAACACCTGGTGAGCTGCGGCCCTCGGCTCCTCCTCCGGCCGCCTCCACCTCCATCGCCGCCGCCACTGTACTGCCTCTCGGCTCTCTCCGTGGCCCAAACCAGACGCATTCCCGTCGCAACCACCTTCTCATCCTCCCCCGCTTCTTCCGGCCCTTCGCTTTCCTCGTCGGACGGCGGTCCCGCGGCGGAGTCCCCCTCGCCTTCTTATATCTCCGTCCGTATTCGGTGCCCGAAGGACGTCGCAGTGAGTTTTACCTCTCTCGGAACTCTAGACTCCCTTGAAGATTGAAAAAGACGAAACTTTCGAGTTGCATTCTGCCGTGCCTTATTCGGGTCTCTGTTTTTTTTCATTTTCTTGTTCTTCTTTGTTGCTGAAAAAGCAACAACCTGATGTTTCTCGCTTCCAAACCGCGCCAGGATGAGCTTTCAGAAGCTCTTTTATGCTTTGGGGCGAGTTCGGCAAGCATGGATGAGGAAGATGGCTCTGAAAGTTCTGACGAGGTAGCACCACCACAATTATTATGAAACAAGTATCATTTGCTTATCGAATCAAGAAGAATACATTCTCTGAAGCACCAGATTCCATTCCAGTTTGCTCCATTGCATTTCTAATTTTACAGATTCTGTTTGGTGATAGTGTGCCTATTGAGATTGTTTTTGTTAGCTGTCTATTCCAAAAGAAACAATCTCTTGTGTGAACTTTTTGCGCATTATCCCAAGGGTATATGGTCTATTCGAATCCTGAAACTTTCGTACTTCTAATCTGCATAAAACATCCTGTGCCTGCCAAAGATAAGGAAATGGAGCACATAAAAGTATCAACCTCGTTGTTTTGAAGTTAACAACCGCTTGGTAGTTGCAGATTTCCATCAATTCCATATTTCTTCCTAGTGAAGATGTGGATGCATCCGTTTCAAATGCTGCTGATTCGATAGGCTTGAAGGACGTGCCTGAATATGATATTGAAGTGTGTGAGCAAGAAGATTGGGTAAAGAAAACTCAGGTTCGGTTACTTCTCTTCGAAACTTCCCGTTGATCTTATGCATGAACCGATTTTTGCCTTCTATGAGACCACAGTCACAAGGTGACAAATTAATTCAGGGCCTTCTAGATGTATTTTTAATCGTTTGCACAAGCAACTAATTGATTTAGTCTGGTAAAATCTCCAGTTTCCAAGCATTGCAACGTGACCCGCTGTGATCGTACTCTTTCCTTCTTTTTTCTTTTGGAGCAGTGTACTCATGTTCAAAGATGTGCTTTTTTGGACTTTTTTCTCTCTGTTGCAGGAATCATTTCGTCCTGTCAAAGTGACTGAAGGACTTTGGATTATCCCCGAGTGGCAAACTCCTCCGGTATGACTTCCTTAACAATGTATACAGAAAGAGTAGATACCAAAGCATCTAATAAACCCATTCCTATTCAAGGCTGATCATCCTACTCCTTTCCAAATGATACTTGAAGTCGATAATAAACTAAGATGGATGATCCACCAAAGTCAACACTGCCATTTGAGTTGGAATAACTACAATATTAGATTGCATCTTTATTCACCACCTCACTAACCATTTTGTTGCTAACGTAGAATGTTGAAGCTACAAATATAATTCTGAATCCTGGATTGGCATTTGGAACTGGGGAACACCCCACTACAAGATTATGTCTATTGCTGCTACATGGCCTGATAAAGGGAGGAGAACACTTGCTGGATTATGGAACTGGTTCTGGCATTCTTGCAATAGCAGCGCTTAAGGTATCTGAAATTTTAAGTGACGTTGCGGCTTTATTTTCATACTGATATGACCTATGGGATAACAAGTCTAAAGCAATAGACAAGTTTGGCAAGGACTGATTTTGGTGTCCCCAGCGACCCAATGTTTACTTTTTATAGAATTATTTGACGACAGAATTTTTGTGACTCGCGGTCTATTGCTGCAATATAATGAGTCTCCATGAGATGGGTCATCTAGCCTGATAAATTTGATCCTGCAAAAGTAACAGCTGCTACTCATTCCATCAAATTTGCGACATATTTTTACAGAAATACAGTTAGTTAAATAAAGCCAGGAAAAGCCAATGTTCGTTTTCAAATTTTTAATGCCTATTGTGGACGTAGTTAGGTGCTGCATCTGCGGTGGGATTCGATGTAGATCCTCAAGCGATATCATCTGCTCGTCACAATGCTGCTCTAAACAACATTGGATCGGACAAGATGCAGCTAGAGCTGGTTCCTACCAATGAAGGGACACATGAAGATTCAGGACAGACCTTGAATAAACAGGGACTCATTTCGGAAACAGAGAAATATGATGTGGTGGTTGCAAATATTCTGTTGAATCCTCTACTAGAGTTGGCAGATCATATAGTATCTTATGCCAAGCCAGGAGCAACCGTTGCTGTCTCTGGTATCCTGTCTGACCAGGTATTCTCCGAATTCCGAATACACTTGGTCTTGCTTAAACAATTATAAGGTAATTTAAGTACAAACAAGGGAGTGCTCACTGCTGCCTAGATTTATTCCAATGTGGACGGAGTCCTTAGATTTATTGCTAAACGTGAGATGATTAACAATATCAGCCATGCTATTGTTTGAAATTTAGGTCAATTGTTTGTAACGTTTTTTCAGTCTCTGAATGAAGTCATCAGTCCTCGTTCAATAGTCCTTTTTTCCTTCTGTTTGCCGAACTTGTTCGAGAGTCTTTAACAATGTTTAGTGAGTGAATTATTATTCTAAGGGTGAAGTTTTAAAGAATAAGAACCTCCAATAGTTTACTTCCAACTTTGGCATTGAGAAGATTTTTAGAATCCAAGGCTGCTGTGACGAATTCCTTAGAGGCCAGATGAAGAAACTCGGGCCCAGTGTCTTTACGCAGGTCCCATCTATCAGAAGTCGATATTCTTGTTTCTTAGAAGACATATCAGTCTCGGAGCAGGGTGAATGGGCATGCCTGAGCGGCAGGAAGAAGATAAACTTCTAACATAGATTGAAGGCTATCGTAGCTGTTTGTAACTGGATACACATGCTCGAATGTCTTCAGCCATAGCACACTCACGGGGTGTTCGGCAGGCCAGCAGCCGAATATAGTGCTCGTTTGAGTCCGAAACACAATGTCATGTTTTCTTTTTATTAATCCCAACATTGTACATGTATCACAGTGACTTACGGACGTGACTCGAGCAACTTGCCCTTAGGTGTCACAGAAAATGAGATCGGAACAAATATTTTCCACTGGACCGGGGCTCTATCAGGCAAACATATGACAAATTTATCAAGAAAAGGTTCAGTCCTTCTACATTGCAACAATCTTCTAAACTTGTCGCAAAAATCAAGTGATACACTCTGGTCAACTGGTACGGCATGTCCATCGGCCTTTTTAACCTTCAATGTTGGTCAACTGAAAAAGAAAAACCAAAAGCGGGGATCCTTACCGAGCGAAAGTAAAGATCCTGTATCATCGCTTAAGTTGCCTCCTCGCCAGAGCAGGGGCTCTCTTGGGGATGTAAACCTGGTAGTTCACCTGTGCATAAATCAATGACATTGGACTAATTTAAAACATCGAACATCCATTATCTTATAAACAAGTTGCTCCATTCACATTTTCACAGCATGCGGACTTGAGGATGAATAAGTAGGATAACACTTCACATTTGCAACTCACCTTTATCGTTTCACCACCCCGAGTAACAGACATTGTCTTTTGTTCATATTGGGGACCATCCTTAGCAGCATTCCCATCTTTGTCTGAGCTCACAGCTCCTGACGTGGACTCAGAATGAGAAGGCAGCTCTGGAGCGGGAGATGCATGCTTCTCGTGGACTTCATTATCGTCGACTTTGTTCTCAGTTCCAGCAGCTTCAATAGTAGTTTTGCCACCAATACCCTTTGTCACCATCGGCTTTGCCTGAGGAGGTCCCGAGGAAGGACGCAATTCCTTGGATGGCGCTTGAACCTTTGCCGACTGTCGCCTCCATGTATATGAAGTCACCCTTGGATTAATAGTATTGGAAGCAAAGGTTGGTATGACCTCTTGTTTGGCATTAGCAACGCCAGTCCCCTTGTGCAATAGTTTCTCCACGGATTGCCTAGTAGATCCACTTTCTTTGAAACCACTATGCCCGTGATATGGCCTGACCTCAGAGGACTGTCTCCAAATGGCAGGCACAACTTTACCGCCTTTATCACCTAAACTTTCATCATTCGAGTTTATACTAATACTATCTCTCTTCACAGAAGAATCAGAATTGATACCATTGCCTTCAACTGGAGGTGCATTGGCTACATTGTCTCTGGGAAACTTATGGTCAGGCAATTCTGAAGTAGCAATTGAAGATTGCTTCTTATTACCATCAACATTTTCTTTCTGAGCAGACAAAGCTGCTGCATTTTTATGAACACCTCGGAACTTTTTGAGATTTTCCAGTGCCCTCTGTCTCAACATTGACTCCAAATCGTTACCATCTGACCCACCAGAAACATTACTTTCATTGTCCCTTATGGTATGGATGGTTCCAACTACAACAGAGCTTATATTGTTTCCATTCTTCTGACTATCTTCAGTTATTGCAGTACAATTCACATCTGAAACAACAGCCTCTTCATCTTTTTCGTCATCCACCTGCCTCTTCACCTCAGATTCAACAAGCGGATGATGGGTCAATTCCCGCTTGCCCCCAGAATCATTACTATCGTTACTTTTGCAAGAAGGATAATCATCAGTTTCATAAGTAATTTCTTCCTTATGTCCATAAGCATGCAATTCTCTGTCCTCATTGTTAACCATTATAACAGACCTTAATCGCATCGAATGGTTCCTGCCCCTCATTTTCTCATCACTCTCATCACCACTGCCTATGCTGCGATGACTAATGGGAGAATAACTCCTCGGACTATATCCACACCCTGTTACTTCAGTTTTACCCTTCTCTACTGTCCACCTATCCTTATCTTTTCTCTCAGAACTGGCCCTATAATTTTGAGATTCACTCCGTCCGCTGTCACTACTCGATTCCGCACAGGTTGAGCAGTACGAACCACTGCTCGCCGAACTCACACGCCTCTTAGATTTCTTTCTAGTTCTCTTCATCCTAGGACTGAGCTTACCATCTCTCTTGGACCCTTTTCTTTTCTTACGAGAAGGCAAGTCCTCGCTGCTTTCAGCACTATACGACTGTCCTCGCGACCTCTTCTTGCTTCGCCGACTACTCTTCTTAGAAGGGGATCTCGCCCGTCTCTTACTTCTTCTCCTGTAATCCTCCTCAGAGCTCGTGGTCGATGAAATCAGCGAATCATAATCGCTGGAATAAGAATCAGAATCATGACGGCGGCGAGAACTCCTCTTCGACTTACTCCTCTTTTTAGTCTTACTCGTCTTCTTGATCCGAACCTAAACAGTCGAACCTTATAGAGCATTAAAAACCACAGCGAACGCTTAACTAAAACCTGACACTTTCAAGTTGAAAATTCATCTCATTCGAATTTCAAGGCAAAGAGCAATTAATATCAAATAACCCATCCCACCATTAACTAACCAAATTCCCTAACAAAGCCCGGTACTTCTCAACTCTCCTCTGTAGCAACAGATTCTCTCCCTCCCCGGACACCGAAACCCGAGCATTAATCACGTGACTATCGGTGTCGCGTTCGTGCCGTGTCGGATTGTGTTAAAACAACTAATAAGCTAACTCAGTCAGCTACCGATTTCAGTGAGAAGACGGCGGGGGGGAGAAGGAAAGCACTAGAGCAATTACAATTTTCTAGTCAGTCTCTAGGCAGCGGCCAGTGAAGCCGCCGGAGAAGTTCGTCCGTGCAACTCATTACAACAAATCCCGAAACCTTCCGATTACCTCCCGATTAAATTCCCCTACTCGTCTCGAAAGTGAACGGGGAAAAGGCAAAACCGACGCGGCACCGTAATCACCGTGGACACAACAACATTCGTTCGAATCGTAAAGGATCGAGCGAGCTGCCGAATCAACCGAACAATCACAGCAAGCGAACCCTAAACGCGCGCGCGCGCGCGCGCGCAGAGAGAGAGACGGTACCTTGGACCGCCTTTTCTTCAGGGAAGAAGCAGATGAAGAAGGAGGCTTCCCCATCTCCCCCAAACTAACCAAATCGCCACCTGCAATGAAGATCAATCGACGCTACAGAGAAAGCAGATCATCGAAGAAGAAGAAGAAGAGAACCGGAGAAGAAGTCGAAAATCTCGGAGTGAAGAGATCGCCGCAGATTTGCCCGAATTTCAAAAGGACCGACTTTTGGTGTGCGGTGGGGGATGCAATTTCTGGAAAGAGGGGGAGGGGGCCCACCCTTTCCTGAATCTTGTGATAGATAACTTTACGCTTCTTCTTCATACCGGCCTTTTTCTACAAAAAAAAAAAATAAGAATAAAAAAAGAAAAATTCCTACGCTTTTCCTTCTTCCCCTTTTAGATTTTCCTTTTCCCTTTTTTGTCCGATTTAGATTTCCTTTTTTTGGAAGGCAGAATTTACTGCAGAAATTTATTAATCCTTCATTTTTTCCCAATCAATCCCGGATTATCTTCCCGATCCTTCAAGCCGTGTAGTCGTGCTGTGCGGATAAACGGAGGACTGGGAACTAGACATGGCCACGGGCCGGTTTCGGCCCGGGTCAAACCCGGGACCGGCCCGTTGACCGGGCCCGCGGTTCGGAACCGGAACTGGCCCGTGGCCTACGGGCCCGATTCCGGTTCCCAAAAAAAAAAACCTGCGGATAAGTGGAGAAACTCTTTTTTTCCCCAAATTTGATTACAATATACATTTTGATTACATTTTATATTGAATAATTCATTATTTTATAATTTGATAATTCATTATTTTTTAAATTTTTACTGGAACCGGCCCGGAACCGCCGGTTCCGGTTCATACATGGCCACGAACCGGAATTTCCGGTTCCGAGCCGTGGGCATGTCTACTGGAAACGGACAACTTTTGCCCATTTTCCAACCTACTACATGATATTAAAGATGTTGATTTCATGATCGAGGGATCCCTCTAATAGGAAAAAAAAAAAAACCAGATTTTGTTTGACATCAGCAATGTTTGAATCTAAATTATCTTTCTAGCAATGTTTGAAAGATCGGTTTTCTCGAACCCAATTCATTGCTTCTCAATTATCTTCCCAATTTTTCGGGATTGAGGATTGCTCTGATAGGAAAAAAAAAACCCGATTTTATTTGCCATTAGCAATGTTTGAATCTACTTTCTAAGATCATTATCGCAAACATAAAAGAGCATGCATGCTTTGATTTGCAATACGACTCGATTCCCGGTACCTTTTCAAAGCCAAAAAAAGAACCTCAGCTCTACAGCTTTCCTTTATTCGAAAGAGAAAAAGTGACTGGAACGGTCTTCCATCTTTGCTCTGCCTCTCTGCCTCTCTGCCTTTTTCTTTACCTCGACTCAAAAATCTCATCCACAGGCTTCCCCTTCGGAATGAAAATGAGTGTTTCATAACGAGCGGGTTTTCCTCGGAAGGGAGGACATTAAAGCTTTCCGAATACAGAAAAGAAGTTCGTAAGTGCTCTAGTGACAATAAGAAGCACAAACTTCACATGGATATATATACATCTACACTTATTCTTGATAATACTGAGCATATACTGAAGAAGTATCCGTTATTTCCGATGACCTCGACTCCGATGCAACTAACTGTACAGACGGAAAACCAGTCTACGCATCTTCGCCGTCACTAACAGTGGGACAAGTGTCGATGTAGAACTCGGAGCAGAAGTCAGATTCGTCAACAATGCATCCCCTGTTTTACATGGATACAACAAGAAATTGTTAGAGAGACGGGTCTTGTTCTTTCGAACGAAGGGCAAAAAATATGTAAAGAAGCAAAGACTTGATGCCAAACAAGGGGACGGTACCTCTCAAGCACGAACTTTCCTTCTTTGTACTTTTGGCTCTTCTCATGTGCTGCCTCCTGCAAAAAAATGAAATGTCCGGGAAAGCAGACGACCGTATAAATAATAACTCTGCCAAAAATGTCCATTCACCATGCCTATATTAATATCACTATCATCATATGTACATAATTGAGAGCATGTGTGGTGCACCCATCCGCATATGTGTGAAGCTATGCCTCTAAAATGCAGTAAGAGATCAGACAATCTTAGTTTTTTTTTTTTTTTTTTGGCTAAATATCGGACAATCTTAGTTATACCAATGGATATTGTGTCTGCTGGAGGTGGGCGAAGAAGAGGACAACATTGCGCTAAGAGCTATCTAGGAGTTTTAGCCTGTGCTCGAATCAATGTCAGATTTCAGGCGATATGCAACCAATTAGTACATGTACCAATTTAATGCAATATCATGGAACTGCGTATCTAATATACACCATAGGTATCATCCTCATCTTTCATTAGGAAGGTTCATCATATAGATTTTTTTTGCATGACTCCTGACCAACCCATGAGCCCCTCTCAGAATCGGTGTGTGCATGAGGGTGTGTGTGTGTGTGTAGAGAGAGAGAGAGAGAGAGAGAGAGAGAGAGAGAGAGAGAGAGATTATACATATTTCCACCCAACACTTTGGCCACAACAGCAACAGAATATGTCTCCCACGGTGTGCAGTCCTGAAAGCATTATCCTCTCTTCTAGAGTTCCCAATGTGAAATTCACCCTAAAGCACAAATCAATACATGAATAAGAAAAATTCACGGCTCATTATTCAAGCATCCTGCAGATGAAAAAAAAAAAGTAATTGAAGTTACAGTGTCAATAAACACAACCGTCATGACACTAAAAACTCGGTATAAGGACCTCTATTTCCACATTTCCCTTTCGCAGAGAGAGTGATCTTCCTTTTCTCTGCACAAATGAAGCTCAGTACTCTTGCATTGACAACCAATGAATACTAAAATGAAGATTCCTTACAAGGTCAACTAAAATTGAGGGCCCATTTACAATGGTAGTAAGAATTTAATTGAGACTCTTTTTAAGCCTTTGCATTGTTAAATGAAAAACCTAATCATACTTGCAATCATAAGAGAGCTAAGGGAAGTCGCTTTAGAAGTCATTAGACGATGCGATCTGTGTTGATGAATAAGGCAATATGCCATGAGAATCTCCTAAAAGTAATCGCATTCTTCTCATCCTCCATAAACTATGACTTCTATGACTAGATGCTCTAACTAAAATGCTCCAACAAGCATCAGTTGAACCTGCACCATTATCCACTTCCTCTCTCTCACTACTATCTTTGGAAAAGGAGAGAAAGGGAAAGAAGTGAAATAGTGTATAGACCTAAGCGCGCATAATGTGTACAGTCATCTGCCTATATCTCGATTCTCAACTTTCTAGGAAAACATCCTAATGCAAAAGCTCCTGGAAAAGTTGGTGAGGATATTTAGAGCTATTGACACAACGAAAATTTCGTGGATAGGAAGAAACAATCTTGTTAGTAGCTATCAAATGGACATGATATTGCCGTCACCCTTGCAGAAACCAGCAAGAAGAGTATTCCTCCTTTTAATATCATTACAGAAAAGCAGAACAACGAGATGATAGGGGCAGCAATCAGTTGGCATAAATCTTATAGCCAGCATGCAATCACGCAATCTTGGTCCTGAAGCCTCACGAATTTGAGTTCTGAAAACCATAAACACTTCCACCACTATTAGGAAGCAAAATCCCAAACTGCGAACACAGTTGAGAAGAACTTACGCCTTGCTGAAGAGGTACGCTTTCCCTCGGCGACTATGAAACGACTGACCAAATTACAAGAAGAAAAATATCATCAGGGTTCAACATCCTTGAGATAGCAACTCGACATAACACGCTGTTCTACTCAAATCAGTACTTGTACAAACGAACTATCGCACGTGATAAAGTTCTCTGCTTGTCTATCAGTTTCCACTTTCAAGAAACAATTCAGCAATAAAGCAATATCCACCCGACAGTAAGTCTCACAAAACAGAGCGAAATACGTCAGAATAAAACAACACCCAGGGCAGTTTTTCAAAGAAAGCATCCTAATTCACCAACTGAGGCTCGAACCAACAAGAACCGACTCTTATCCAATCAAACGCCGCAAGAAACGAGTCCGCTTCCCTGACCGAGTGATTACAAGAGAGTAGTGGTACCCGAGAGACGAGATCCTCGGCGAGGGCCAGGTGGGTCTTGCAGTACTTGCACCGGTAAGATCGCCCTTCCAGCTCCACCACATATATCCTCCCCATGACTGGTTTCGCCTCCCCTTCCTTCAAAAGTCCCACTCGCTACTCACTCGCCACCAGCCGAATTCTTGCTGTTGTCACACGTTGGTGTTGGATAAGTACCGAGGAACAAACCCGGCGTCGCATCTTGGCTCTCTCGATGCTCGGAAACTGATGCAACCAGCCGCAGACAGCGGGCGCCCCGAGCGCGCACCGCGCACTGGTGACGACAGAGCCCGTGAGCTGAACGCAAGAGACAGGGCCTTCAATCAACGGACCGATTTGGGCCGGGCCTGCTGATGGGTGGACCGATTCCGGCCCATTTAGAAAAAGATTAGTTGGGCTTCTTTCACGTATGGGCCCAATAGTGTGGCCCAAATCGAAGGCCGCCTTGAGTTGGGACTTCCTTTTCAGGCCATATAAACTCATTTTCAATTGTGTCGAACGATCTCATCCATATTATTGCTTGTATCTTCCTAGGTAAGCAAGTTTCCGCGCCACGAAACGCGTATCGTCATCGCTTAATAAGACGTGAGCACAGGTCCTGATCGCAGTTTAAGATTATCGGGACCGAAATCGTCGTTCCGATCGAGTGTTTTGGAGCTCTACATCCGCCGCCGTCTCCACAGACAAAATCAAGTTAAAAAAGGATTAGTGAGGCTTTACTTTAATAATCCCCATGGGACAGTGACATCGACGGGGCATGAGGGCTTTAAAATTTTGCCTCGCCCAAAACTTTCGTTATGGGTCGCTTTCGATTTCTCGATCAAGTATGACGCCGTGGTCACGACACAATTTGCCATTTAAATAAGCCATCCGTGCATATGTATCTAATCCATGATTTGATCCCACTTTACTAGTTTACTCCATCAAGACTGTCAAGGACACTAAATACCGAATCGAGAGGGATTCTAATCAAAACGCCACTCCGGTTGAGATGCAAACTTAGCCGAAGATCGTAAAATCGAGAATGGTTTTATGTTTTTCATCTTATCGGATATTGTCCGACCGCTAAATCAAAAAGAAGGAGAAGGTTTCACGGTTCATTGATAAAAATCAAACACGCCCAGAAAACATAGGCTTCCGTCACCGCACAAAGGTTCAAACGTCCAGCGATCGAATGAAATTGGACAATCCGAACAAGATTATTGAACAGGAGGACGTCACGCTCCACTTCCCACTTCACTGTCACATGACCACATATACCAATACCAAACCTTCGCTATTAAAAAAGAAAAAAGAAAAATTCCTTATTTTTTTTTGGTCCATTGACATCAAGCTCTCTCCAATCAAACCATTATACTTTCACAGATTTCTTCATAAGTCCCGACATGAAACCCAACTAGATCCAACTGATACGTCCGCTGGATTTAGGAAAGATTCGATGCCGGAGGGACTCGATTACACAAATTAAAAATATAAGATTTTTGTAAAGAAAAGCACTGACCACAACAAAAAAGGGCAAGTGTTTTTTTAAGTTTCTAGAACACCCCGCTCCGATTATTTTCAGCACAACTAAAGAAGGAAAAGAAAAAAAAAGGTGGGCGTGCCAAAAGGAATGCGAACGCGACTCTCCGGTCTTCCCTAAACCCCCAGTTAAAACCGGACCACAGAAAAAAAAAGGAAAATAAATAAATGAATGAATAAAAATAATAAAGAGAACCGATTCGACCGGGTCGAAGACACCTGACAGCCCGACAAGCCGTTGCGCAGCCAAGCCGCCCCGCCCCCAACGCCGAGCCAGCCACGTAAGCCGAGGAAACCCCCCAAAAAAGCCGGCGGCTTTTTTTCTCTCTCTCCCCCCGCCGCCCGACTTCGAGCTTCGTCTCATCCTCACGCGGCGGCGACACGTGTCGTCACGTCCCCTCCAACTGCCCCCCCTCCCTTTACCCCCGAGGGCGGGCCCCGCGCTCCAAAAACGGCCGACGCGCCGGCTTTTCCTTTTTTTTTTTATAAAATAAAATCGCCTGTCCTCCACCACCACCACCACCCGCTGCTACGCGCCAAAAGAGGGTAGCGGGGGTCGGTCGCTCGCTCGTCCCTCGTCCGTACGGGGGCTCACGTGGGGCGCGCTTACGTGGCGCGACCCGACTGGGGCGGGGCCCTCGCTGTCCTCGCGGCAACAGGGTGCGCGCGCGCGCGTAGCGTAGGAGTAGCCCGCTCCCCCCCCCCCCCCACACATAGCGTGACCTCACCCCAAAGGGAGAAAAATCTGTGCGGTGGATTCCAAGCGAAATGATGGCGGTGGTCCCCCGCCCGCCCCTCAAAAGCGGCCGCCGCTAGCAATACCATTTGTTCACACGTGGACCCACTCATTTCATTGCGCGATAAGATTCTTAAATTAAAAAAAAAAAAAGAAAGAGAAAGAAACGAAAATCTAGAACGGGGAAGAGCATAAAATAATCCAAATAATCTTCATAAGCTAGACTTAGGGATAATTACACAAAAATCCCCCAACTTTAACTCAATATGCAATTTGATCCATGAATTTTTAATTTGTTCAATATAGTCCATGAACGACATTAAATATTTTGAACGTGTACTAAAAGTTCAGGAACGACGTCGAACAAATCAAAAGTTAAGGAACCAAATTTCATGTTGAGACAAAATTCATAGACTATATCGAACAAATTAAAAGTGCATTGACCAAATTGCACATTGGGGTAAAATTCATGGACTGTTTGTGTCATTTTCCCTTAAACTTATCCCATCTCATATAAATTTGAATTTATTTTGTAAAATAATCAAAACTCAATTTCTCTTTTTCGATTTTTATTTTTTTTGGCTATATGGTTGTATGATAATTGGTATGGGTAGGTTGGTACATTGAGTAAAGTACGAATTGGTGGGTGGTCAAATTAAAGGAGCGCCTCCATGTTAGAGGGTGGGAAAGAAAGCCGGTTTGCGCCATCTTTCGACATCAGCCACCGGAATTTGCGTGACCTTGCTTCTTGCTTTTGCCCCCCACCTCTCTTCTTTAAACCTCTGACCTTTTCAAGTTATGCTGTTTTTGGGTGAGACATATAAGCTGTTGGACTTGTCCCACAGTTTTCTCCAAATCGGTCGTACGATATTCACGAGCTTTGATCCCCTACCAAGTACGATGCGTAAATCATCTTAGGTTCTGGACCGTCGTCACTTATGCTTTCGCATCAAGATTGATTATTAAAATATTGGTTTGCTACCTGTTAAACGAAATTTTTTATTTTGAAATGACAAATTGCCGATTGCGGGTGATTGTTATACCGCCAAGCCAAACTCTCTCGCGAACCCTAGTCTCCATCTGCCATGGACCCCATCTCCCCCTCACCACACGCTATTGTTCGGTGCGCTCGCCCCACCAGGACCTTCGCTATAGTCGGCTCCCCTCTCATCCGTCGACATCAAACCCTCCCCTCACCTGTGAGACATCGGATTTGGGCCATTGCCGCCAGCTCAAATCTGGCATGCCATAGCAAGAGCTCGAGCTTTGGTGGCCATGACCACTGGATGCTAGATCCGGCATGGCCGTGGCGCGAGCTCGAGCTCAAAAGAGATATAAAGACACATAAATCTACCACTTACAGCAATGTTATTTCGATCTGGTTTATTTTATTATTTTTTTTTTTTGTCTTGTCCTACGCTAACTCTCAATTCACTTTTAGACTTTTAATCTATCTTTTTACAGAGCGTGAAAGTCAAACCCTACACTTGAAACTAAACGTCATTACCCTTAACCCTCTTGAGAAGGTGGGAATTCAAACTCCCCACCTCCCCCTTCTCATATGGGAAGGATCGTCGCTAAGGTAATTCCTAGTGGTTTATTTTCAATCTAGTTAATGAGTATCTTTTTCAGATCGGTTCTGCATATTTAATTTGGAATGATTCAATCTTGAGGACAATCACTGTATTAAAAAAACTACAATGTTTGTTGAACTAATTACATAGACAAGTATTCCAAGGTACTCGTTACCAAAATTCATCGAGAGTAATCATATTTAGCTCCATTAATGGTACGACCAAAAAGTTCATATGGACATGTTAAATGGGTAATAAATGCGTTCGAAGCTAGTCATACGAAACCGAACTTTCTCAAACTCGTACCATTAGATGCTAAAAAGCATCATCTTCCAATACGATGCACCGCATTAACTTTTTCCTTTTCTGGAAGCCCTTCTGGTGTTATTCTGTGTCGTGTTTTCCAACCCCAGTGACCAAACGTCATCGGTTTCTCTCTGTCCTTGGGGGCAAAAAAGGGCAACTACAGGGGCTATGGTCGAAAAAACTCTTCCCTTTATTTTCACCCACGCTCCCTAATTTCTCTAAAGCAACTTGAAGATTAAACCTTCCCCTTACTTCCTCCCTTTGCAATTCTTCCCTGACATTATTTCAGCGCCAAAACAGCCTCCATAAACAATCCACGAGGGCCGAAAACGAAATCAAATGGATGATACGAGCCTGACCCGCGACCCATCTTCAATAAATTAGGCAAAAACAAAAAGAAAAAGGACGAGGTTTATCCCCACGCGACACGGCTTTAAAACGAGACGCGCAAAAGTTCGATCCTTTGAGAAATTAAGAATGCTAGGGCGAGGGAAGAAAAGAAATGTCTTGAACGTTGGATTATTCGTTAATTTGATCTGCTTTTAATCCAAAGGCACTTTTCCTTTGGATCATAACTTTTCCGCATAAAGAGGGCAGACAGAGACGAGGGTTGCATTGAATTTGCAATGGAAATTTTCGCTTTTACAAGTTAGGGCCCTTGTATTTGTCATATTTCCAATTCCGTCCATCCAGCTAAATAGGCATGTTGGAGCTATGCATCCCGCACCAATTCAACTTTCTTTCCCTTCTTTTTGTTGTTCATGTTCGTCCCTTTTTAGGTCTTCTCCTCCTTTTCTGCGTTTTCCTTTCACATTTCCGGAGTAATTTAATGGTCAAATCGGTGCTCGGGAATAATTGCGCGGGTCCATCGGCATAAAGCAGACCGACTTCAACGTGTAAGATAATCTGATGTGATGTTTCGTGACTATATGAATCGACACGGAATTAATAGCACAAGTCGCGACTTGATAAAGCAAATCGTCATCTGGAACATTTTCATGAAGACATAAAGATGTCAATAAGTCATCTCGAGCGTGTTCAACTACATAAACCATAATCAGTTTAAAATATTAATTCAGAAAGCGGTACGATGATTTAGTTCCGACCGAACATTTGAATAAGTAGGGGTGAGATATATTCGATTTGAAACGAATGCCCATGACGTCACTTCACAAACCCATTGTCGCAACACGCTGTCCTGCCCCAGGCCCGCAATTTTTCCCGCTTAGGACCTCTTATCATTTACGAGGGTGGTCGACAATTTGACTTCAGCCTCCGCATACTTGGCAGTGTTAGATTCATGTTTTTTTCAAGTCTATATTGTTGAACACTGATCAAGGCGTGTTGCATACGGCTTGTAAAGTCCCCCTCCAGAATTGGAATTTCACCATCGACACGAAGGGTTTCTCGTTAACGTTCCTCGAATTTCCCATGGTTGGCAAAAACTAACGAAAGATTCTATCTAAGTAGACGCAACTGTACTCGGCGACGAATTCCAATCGGGGAAAAGGTTGGTGCGCGCTCCTTCGTAATCATCGATCACGGATTGAATTTCGCAGCTTCTACGTTCGTAGGTCGAAGGGTCTACGAATTGAAACCCCCCTCGTCGGCGACCGATCGCTGACTTTATGTATACATGTGCCCGACATAATGTTGGAGGGGTTCGCTATACGGATACTTTCTTTTGTCATTTTGAAGATACTAAATTAAAATAAATTTGAAAAACCAACCCCTTAAAATTCGGGTGCAATCTAAACTACCAGTAGAGGAAGTGTCTAACTAGTAGGTGCCACCGTGACTTTTGTTGGATAATGTAAATGTATGCAAAAAAAACGAGTCTCCCGCGAAGATAATCGTCGCTGGCGAAATTAGAGAAACGTGTAGCGCTAATAGAAAACATCTTTTGAGAAAAAAAGGACTCGACTATAGAATCGGGTGTGTAGGGGGGGGGTCTACTGGAGATTTGTGTGTGGGCATCGATCGGTGTCATGGGGTCACGGCATCGGGGGGGGATGCCCGGTTCGTGCCCCGACCGACCCCGGGACGGAGATGCCCTGCGGTTGTGAAGATCCGTCTTCGTTCCCGGAAAAATGGATTTCTTTTTTTTCCTTTCTCGTATTTTGTTACCGAGGTTCGGCCCGGAGGAAATTGTTAAAAACGCTCAATCTGTCTCCCTATTCGACGGGCGACCAGCGAATTAAAGAAACCAAAAGAAAACATCGTGTTAACAGGCGCCCGAAAATAAAGGCCCCCTTTTTTCTTTTCCTCCCCAAGAAAATTAAAATACTAGATCTCATCCAGAAAAAGCTAAAGAAGTTGTCGTGAAACATAGGAAGACCGAAAAAGACGATGGACTTTAAAATTCGCAAATTTTAAAAAGAAAGAAGGAAAAAAAAATAATAAGGAGAGAGAGATGGAGGGCAGTAGGGGGGGGGGGGTAGGGGGGGGGGTTGCCGCGTGACGACAGCCCGAAACCCGACACGGAAGTCGTCAACGCGGAATTTACTCTACCTCCCTCCCTGGGCCCCACGCCCCCCCTCCCCCCCGCCTCTTCACACGTGCCTCCTCCTGATTCGGTCTTTCCCTTTATCTCTCTCTATCCCTCTCGCCGTCGGTGCCGCCTCAAGTTAGAATACACCCCCCCGAAACGAACGGCCAGGATTTATTTTCGCGCGCGCCGGGGGGCGTCCCCACGGTTGCAGGCTTTATCATCGGCCCCAGCCCCCGCCTTTCCTCCTCCTGCTGGCGCCCGATCCACCGTCGGATCGGCGGAAAAGCGATGATGCGGATGGACGGATAGATTCCCCCCCCCCCCCCCCCCGAGAAGAAACAAAACACCAACGCGAATCACGAGGTCTCCCCCTGCCCCCTCCCCCCTCGCCCCTCCCCCCACCCCCCGTCATCGCCTCGAAATATTTCATCCACCCCTCTTGGTTTTATTATTTTTTTAGTTTTTTTTATTTTTTCAGTTTGCGAATTTTTTTTTTAATCCAAGAATTTGCCGGAAATTTTAACGACGCCCGAATATTAAATTCAGGTGCGATTTTTCATGATCTCCTAAGATCTGAATAATGTTTTCGATGCCAGTGGGAAGGCCAAAAAAAAAAAAACAGTACTCTCGATTTACTTCTGAGTGTGAATTGATTGACTCTCTAAGAGTATTCGACATTGACGCGTGGAAGAAACGAGTCGTTCAAATTCAAGATTCATTGAGATGCAAAAATGTCAAGAGCGTCTAGTTAATCATATCGCGCTTGTCATGTTTATCCCGTGATTCGTGAAAGTGGATCCCGTTGACAAATGCTCCGCGTCTGTTTTAATTTATTTGATTACTTAACAAGTGGTAAACGAAAATTTGATAATTATTATCCAGAGAAAACTTAGCAACCAATCGAATAAGCTTCGTTTAGTTTAGTACTCCAGCCGTGCGGTCGGTTACCATCCTCTTGCGATATTATACGCTAATAATAAAATTCAAACTTTAGTTGCAGGGCAACATAAAAGAATATTAGATGAACATAAACGTTTATTTAGGAATTCAAAAAAAAAAGAAAGGAGAGAAGGTCTTAAATTTCTCACGCAAATTTAATAATGTTACCGAGTGCATTTTCTCAATTAAAATTTGCTTCTCCTCTTTTTTTGTGTCGACTTTATCCCTCTCTGTTTTTTGTCCTGGGATCCAAATTTGGAAAAGTGAATTTTATATAAAGCCTTTTACCGAGAAAAACACGTAAACGAGATGAAATTGTGGATTTTTTCTTTTTTAAACAGCAGTCATCATGACAGTCAAAGACAGAAAGCTCACACCCCCATGTTTCTCATCATGAAGCCGCTCCCCATCGTCGGCTCCCCGCTCGCTCGCTCTCCGCTTTTGAGCGGCAAAGCAACGAACCAAACCCCAAAGCAATTATTTTAATCGGAAGGGTTTTTCTAGTGCGGTCTCCGTACGAGTATGGGCCCGACACGTGTCCCCCGGGCGCGCCTCGCGATCTCTCTCTCTCCTCCCTCTCTCTACCTTGCGCCTCCCCTCCCCCACGGCGCATCTTAGCGCCTCCCCTGCCGCCCACGACAAGGCTTGTCAAAGTAGCTGCCCTGCCGGCGACATGTCCTTGTGCGATCGACCCGATAAAATATTCCAAAAATAAATCCTTCTTCTTCTTCTTCTTTTTTTTTTTTTTGGCGCTCGTAACTTGATCTGATAACGATTTCGTGGGGAGAGATTTGAAGCACACGTCGAAACGGGTCGATGATCCATGATTGCGATAATGATCCTTTTTTTTCTTTTCCGTTTTTTTTGGCTCGATCGGGAATCGAGAGGAAGATCCAAACCAGCAGAGAAGAAGATCGGAGGAACAAGAAGAGATTTCAAGAATTCCGGTAACTGATGGAAACTTGTAAATGACATCGCCGATTTTCATTTATGGTCGGAGGAAGAAGAACAAAACAAACAACATCGAGAAAACCTACTAGTCTTTTCTTTTTCTCAGTTGCAAAAAAAAAAGGAACAGTCGGAGGTTAATCATCATCGTCATCATCTTTCTATGTACATGATTTTTATCGTTCCGTCGCCGTCGTCGTCTTCGTCCGTCGTCGTCAGCGCATGGATCTCGCGTCAGGCGGAGAGCACGTTTCTCAACAAACCGATGAAACCACAAAAAAACAAGAACGATCCAAAAATTCATCGTCCCGATCCCGCCGATCTTAAACGGGGGGGGAAAGATCAGACCACCTCGGGTGGGGGGAGGTTGAGATCGAGGAGCGATTTGCCGCGCGCCGGCCTGTCGTACTCCGCCGCCGCGGGCGTCGAGGAGCCAGGCTCGGTCTTGACCCCGACTCCGCTCACCGGGCGAAAGTCGGCCAGCACGGGACGGTCGAACCTGCACGCCTCCAGGCGAGGAGCGCCGCCGCCGCACGCCGCCTTCTTCTCCACGCGCGTGAAGGCGTCGAAGAAGAACACCGGCCGCGGCGCCGCGGGCACCACCGGGAAGCACATTGCGGCCGCGCCGGGGAAGTAAGCGCCGTGCCCGGCGGCGGCGGCGGCGGCGGCGACGGCGACGGGCGCCGGCCGAGGCTGAGGTCGAGGGGCGGGGCGAGGGCGAGGGCCGCGGGCGGCGGCGGCGGGGGGGAGGGCTCGTCGAGGGAGCTGCTCTGGCTGCTGGGGCTGCGGGAGGAGGAGATCAGCTCGGCGGGGGAGGGGAAGTTGGTCTTGGCCTTGGCGCCGCGGAACTCGCGGGCGGCGGCGTCGTAGGCCCGGGCGGCCTCCTCGGCGGTGTCGAAGGTGCCGAGCCACACCCGGGTCTTCTTGCCGGGGTCCCGGATCTCGGCAGCGTAGCGGCCCCAGGGCCTCTTCCGGACGCCCCGGTACCGGATTTCCTTGAGGCCGTTAGGGTTTGGGATGGCGGCGCTGGGCTTTTCTCTCGGAGCCATAGCTTCTTTTGTTTTTTTCCCCTGGTTGGTTTCTTTCGCGAGAGGAAGGTGTGAAGAGAGAGAAACCGGGAGGAAGAGAGAGAGAGAGAGAAGCGCGGTGGCTTGAGGGAGGAGGAGAAGGGAGGTCGAGCGGAGGGGCTTAAATAGGAAGGGAGGAGAGAGAGAATCGTGGGGTGCGGGGGGGTGTGTGCGCGTGTAAAAGATACGCTCCTTTTGGGGCGCTTGTTGTGTACAGACCAAGCAGGTCGTTCGCTTCTCGGGCCAGAACGAACCCCACTTTTCCCCCTTTTCTTTTCTTTTTTCTCTTTTTTTTTTTCGCGTTTTCGTTTTGTTATGTGACGTGAATTTCTCTAGAGAGAGAAAACAGGCGAAGAAGAAAATAAAAGGGAATTAAGAATTGGGCCTCAAGTCATGACGTATCGGCTCGTCGAGGATGATGAGCGAAATTACCGAAAGAACCGGTTTTGCGCATTCATGCACAGCGCGTGTGCGGTGGGGTGCTCATTTTGTTGGAGCTACCATTTTTCAGGGTAACAATTAACGAAGAATTGCTCGGTTAGTTTATAGGGTTAGTACCACGAAAAAATCTTAAACTAATATATCCGTAACAATTTTATACCAAATTATTTTTATTACCACAAAAAATTTCAAATGGTATATTTATGATAAATTTACCCCAAACTAATATTGTGACTGCTAAAAACCCCAGACTGGTATATTTGCGATAAATTTACACTCCGTTAGTTTCCGTTAAATTGAATTAATACCACAAAAAATAACAAACCGATACACCTGTGACAAATAGAGGGTTAAACATAAAAACCGGTACATCAGTTAACTGTCGCGTATCATTTAACAGAGCAATTTGACGGTAAAATTTAACGGAAACAAATTGAGGGTAAGTTTGTCACAAGTATACCAGTTTGAGATTTTGGGTGATCAAAAAATTAGTTTGGGGTAAAATTGTCGCGGATGTACCAGTTTGGGATTTTTCGTGGTATTAACCCTAGTTTATATGGTTGGGTTGGTTTTGCGCCCTCGGTCAGTTTACAAATATGAGAAAATAAAACTTGCAAATGGTAGCTGGGTATGCACATTCCTGGAAATTGTGGCGACAAACTGAAGAATATTTGTCGATGACTCTGGATGATAGAAGCAAAGGAGCAAGAAGAAAAAAACTGGAGAAAACCTTAGCAATAAGAGGAAAAGCCTCCCCACCTATGTCGGTTTCGGGTACATATACCCTTTTTCTTGGACGTTGTTCGAGCTTAACTTGAAATTATGACCCGAGTTATTTTGGCGTCGCGGTGCCTGGTACTTAAATTGTTGAGATGACATTATGTTTGACGTCGAATTTTAACTTTGTGTCCTCATCGCAACCTATTTCGTTTAACAGTATCTAAGATCGGGTTTCTTTTCAAGCTTGGCCGATTCTGGCTGCCCACCACGTTCATTGCATCTCCATGAGGCTTTCGGCCTTCTTTCTAGATAATGATGCGCGTGCGCGGCTATGGTTCGATCGATTCTTTCTGTAGCTGACTTCCATGGGGGAAACAACATTGTTTCCTCATAAGGGAACTAGAAAGAGTTAGGGGTCCCATCTTTTACTTGGGCTTGAACCTAGCAAATTTCGAGTAGCACGCATATAAGAATGTGTTTGGTAACCATTCTGTTCTCGGAAATAATTTCTGCTCAGAAATGATGTTTTTTTATTTTGTTCCCGGAAATAATTTCTTAGCATTTGAAGGTGTTTGGTAACAGCCCAAAATTTATATTTCTGGAAAAAAGAAGAAGAAGAGAAATGCATTTAGTAATTGCACAAAATTTCTTTTTATTAATAATATTTTGAATTTTTTAATATTTCTTTCTTTTTCTTCTTTTCTTTTTTTTCTTCTTCTCCTTCCCTGGCCCATGGCCGGCAAGGGCGTCGCGGCTCTCGCGGCCTACCCTCGCCCAGGTCGCGAGGGTCCAGCTCTCGCCTATGGCCGGCGAGAGCCGCGACGCCCTCGCCGGCCACATGCCTGGAAAGAAGAAAAAGGAAAAAAAAATTTCTCTTCTATTTTTGATTTTTATTCTCAGAATCAAGAATTAGCTTTTTTTTATTCTCGATTTTGTTCCAAAACTGATTCTGGGAATAAATTTGTGCCCAAGAATAAAATATTAATTAAACGGATTTTCTATTTTTTTTTTGTTATGGAGTATAAAAGAATAAAATCATGCACTATTTAATCGGTTATCAAACGGGCTTAAGTGTTTCTGTGGATCAGACAGATAGGGAGGGATGCTCCTTGTTTTCCCCAAGCGAATATTGGATGAACAGGCATCTTATTCTGAAGCGTAGATTAGGAAACGGCTTTGACCGAACGATGTACTTTTGACTTTTCATTCGAATTTAAAATTCGCAGGTCGCGTATTTTGGTTTTTTATTTTTATAAATCTCGAATACACGAAACACTCCCGATGCTCGACACGTAAATTCACATGTATATATATATAAATAAATTATCATTTAAGAAATTTCCGACACGTATGTATCTCGAAACCAACGCCACCGGCCAAACACCACGTGCGACGACGGGACGATGTTAATCTTTCGCGAACATCATAGACCCGGGGGGGCGGGGGAGGCCCAATCATCACGCGCTTCACGTGCTGTGGGGGCGCCTCCTAGTCGGCCCCAGTCAACGAGGATATTGACCGTACTCTCTCTCCCCCTCCCTCGCCGCCCCCGCTTTAACTCCCCCCCTTTTTCTTTTCTTTTCTTTTTATTATTTTATTATTATTCAAAATAATTTCCGTTTAGACAGCGGAGGAGGAGCCTTGTTTTTCAAAGGCGGAAAGAAAGAAAGGGAAGGGAAAAAACCGCAAACTCCCCCGCCCCACGTAACGCCCGCACCCCCCCGCCCCCCACAGCTCCCACGTGGCACGCGGCCAAGCCACCCCCGACCCCTCCGGTGGGAGGCGGCGTCTCTTAACGGCGGTTACTGCGGGCGGCGGGCCCCACCCCAACCCAACCCACCCACCCACTTTCCTTCCTTCCTTCCCCCCGCGTGCCGTCCTCGCGATTCCCGTAAACGGGCATGTCCAGCTGTCCACCCCTCTCCGCCTGACGGCGGTTTTTTGTCGCTTTTCCCTCCCCCACTTTTATTAATTTTTCATTAATTTTTATTATTTTTTTGAACGTATAATGCGGTATCGATTTGAGACATTTGATTAGAACCCATTATGGAGCCGCGCCAATTATTGTGTGGTCGCGAAACGGCTTAAGGCTTTTTAATCACACGGCGCATGGCCCCCCCCCCTCTCACCCCTTCAAAGAGCTTTCGTTTTTAAGGAGGGGGGGGGGGGGAGATGTTAGGGTTTTCGACCGCAGCCATTAATTGCATGTTGACCGCTCATTTTATTGCTCGGACCCTTTCCATTATTTGTGGGGGCGGGGCATTTTTTTTTTTTTTTTCCGGGAGCGTGTCGTGCTGATTCCGAACATCAAACGTTTGGCCGGTGCTGTCCCCCCCCCCCCCCCCCAACTTTCCACTCCTCGCCGCGAGGACCGAAAAGGGCGTGCGATGCGTGTAGGAGCGCAGAAGCGGCCACACGGCCTTTCGGATCGGTCGGAGCGGATCGGACGGCTCGCGTCGCTCGGTATATAGCCTTCCCGTCGGGGGCCACGCGTGTCGAGATCGGACGCGACTAGGAAAACCGAGCGAAGCTGCGGAGGTCTCGGGTTGTCGTCTGCCGATGCGACGATGACGAGGACCGTCCGCGCTCCTAGTACCGCGCACCGCAGCTTCGTATCATCGGTCCATACTGGTCCGCGGAGTCAACTCCCGAGCTCCGACCGTATAGCTCGACAAAAAATACGAGCAGTACACTAAGGGAAGGAGGAAATCGGAAAAAATGTAAAGCTTCGGTATTCGAAAAAGTTACCCGGATCCGATCTCTGAATAAATCATATTAAACAAAGATCCACATTAATTATCGCTCCGGAAAAATGCTTTTCTCGGCTCGGACTGTTGAGGTCACGATGTCGATTTCCAAGGTTTTTTGTCAGCAAAACAAGCAGAATCTGGCGGTGCTGGTGATCGACCGGCAAGGAATGATTCCCCACGGAGCGGAAAAAAAAATAAATAAATAATCGAATTGCCTCCGCAATCATGCGTCCGCCAAGCATGTGAGGATGAAAGAAAATGTTCCGTCAGCCCTTCCATCTTTGCGAATGTGCGTGCGTGCGAGCGAGCGGACAGGTAAGTGGCTGAGTGCCATATGTGCAGGAGGACCTCGATGTCACGACGCAATTTGATGGCGATGTTCATATAATGGACACCCCACTTCAATTCGTTTTCAACCCGCAATCGAGACACCAGCGTCGTATTGATGCGGCGACATCTTTATGTGCGTCGAGCGCGTGAGTACCGAGTACGTGTGAGCCCACTGGAGATTGAATGGACTCGATGGAGGTCCGATTCCGCGTGCTCTGGGAGCTTTTTTTTTTAAATTACGCGGGGGTGCGTTGGAGTCTAATTTTGTTACAAAATTCATGGGGTATTAAGTGACGGGGTTTTATAATGGACTGGAATTTGGTGACTTCTCTAAGTCTTGCATCGGATGAGACTATACTTAGGGAGTGGTTCATGTGCAAGGACCCGCATAACATGATCGCTATTTTGAGTATTTTTTTCGGGACACTTCTTGCACGAATCAAGTTAGGTCGTTAGAAATGGTACCGGAGTAGGACTTTTTTTGTAAGCGTAGAGTTGGGACGAGTTCAAGCAAAATTCGGTGGGTCTCTAGCAACACTGAAGCGGAATTCAATGCCTCGACTCGCATGGATCGGATAGGTTAATTACAAATATAAGCAAGTTCTATATGGACAAGCACTATATGGACGCGTGGTCACGACATGTACGCAGTACCGGGGTAACATCGACATTCCATTCTACCATCTTGTTTTTGGAAACTAACTTGGCGAACTATGTATAATTCCCTTTTTTTCCTTTGTCCCTTATGTCTGCGACTTAATTTTATTGGTTATTTTTTGTTGTACTTTTCGCGGGTTTTATTTCTAGGCGATTTTTCTCCTAAAGAGAGGAAACCTCTTCGGTGGTGACGGTGGTGTTAGCAAAATCTCGTAGGTATGAAATGTGAGATGTACGAATAGCGGCGTTTGTTTGGTGAGTCCCACGTGAAAACTGGCCGAGCACCCCACCCATACCACCCATTCGACATTGATTGGGAAGGGAGGAAACACGGCATGCTTGACGTTGACCGCAACGCGGGACCACCTCGCAGAGGTGACGACATCCCCGCGTTGTCGTGCAATTATGGAACCCTAACCGGTTGTCCTGAAAACCATGTCGTTCGGCGTTTCAAGCTTATCCTGGGCGATGCACATTTGTTCCGTAACTTTTTCAAGAACCGATCACACGAGACTTATGTAGCACGGACGAATTACGGGAGTAGCTTGTTTTTTCGACATTAGAGATGATTCGAAGATGGGATAATAACACAGACAGTCTCTGAACTTTGTCTCGATATGTAATTTGATCCTTGAACTTTTAACTTGTTCAATGTAGTTCCTAAACTTTAGCCTAATGTTCAATATGGTCCATGAACTTTTAATTTGTTCAATGTGGTTTATGAACTTTTGGTACATGTTAAATTTAATGCTTAAACTATATCAAAATGTACAATATAGTCCCCGAACTTGAATTAATGGAAGGACTACATTGAATATTTTTATAAAGTTGAGGGACTATATTGAACATGTACTAAAAGTTCAGGGATCACATTGAACAAATTGAAAGTTCATGGACCACATTGAGTATTGGGTTAAAGTTCAGGGACTACATTGAATAAATTAAAAGTTTAGAGATCAAATTACATATTGAGTCAAAGTTCAAGAACCGTTTGTGTCATTTTCACTTCGATGATACAGCGTTCTTCTCTTTTAAGACACGAAACAGGGTGTCCTGATCATGTGGGCTTGGCCTTGTTTGAATTTGAACAGTTCAAGCCTGCGAACTTGGTGAAGGCGTAAGACGAAGCTGATTGGGGCCGACCCACGATGAAGGGAAATGGCTGGCTAACTTGTATTCAGATTGACATATTCCTCATGTCGACGGCTGGAAGAAGCTGAGTGCTCACCAAGTGCTTGACCAGATGCCAGTGAGAAGCTCTCTGTCCGCGAGACCGCATATGCATCTGCTGTTTTGCTGAAGAACCGATTGACAAACGATGGCTTCATCTCCTTTAATGTCTCGTCTGTTATCCTTCGTCAACTCGTCGAAGAGCGCTGCAAATGCTGCTCTATCTACGTCTTTGTTTTTGGGCACTACGCGAGGCCAGTGTAGATATGCCCTCCGTTTGGCTCACGCCGTCGCAGAAACTCGCGATTTTGACGGATTTAAGAGATACCCAGGTGAACGTTCGGCTACGTTTATCCAGAATATGCTAAGAAATCTGAGGGGCAGCTCAAGCGAAGAGACCGAGAAAGCGCTCGGTCAATGCGGTTTCAGTTTGACTGATGATTTAGTCACGGATGTAATAAGCCGGCACGCTTCGGATTGGAGACCCGCTTACGTATTCTTCAACTGGGTCTCTAAAAAGAGCGGCTATTTACCTGGATCTGCTGTTTATAACGAGATTCTTGATGTTTTGGGCAAGATGAATCGATTCGAAGAAGTAACACAGGTGCTCGAGGAAATGTCTAAGAGAAAGGGTCTTTTTGATGAGAGAACATATGGGGTCTTACTGAATAGATATGCAGCTGCACATAAGGTTGATGAAGCAATCAACATCTTCTATGGCAGGAGAGATTTCGGACTTGAGACCGACTTGGTGGCGTTTCAGGCTCTTTTGCTGTGGTTATGCCGTTATAAGCATGTAGTGTCAGCCGAAACTTTGTTCTACTCTATGAAAAATGAGTTTGGCACTGATTTAAGGACGATGAACATCATCCTCAGCGGCTGGTGCGTGTTAGGGGATGTTCGCGAGGCCAAGAGGTTTTGGAAGGACATAATTGCATCTAAATGCACCCCGGATCGATTCACTTATGGAATATTCATCAAGGCGCTGACCAAGAAGGGAAAGTTGGGTTCGGCCATGAGGTTGTTTCGAGGAATGTGGCAAAAGGGATTGTGTCCTGATGTGGTGATCTGCAACTGTGTCATCGATGCACTTTGTTTCAAGAAGAGGATTCCTCAAGCTCTGGAAGTTTTTCACGGAATGAAGGAACGTGGGTGTCTTCCAAATGCCGTGACGTACAACTCGCTTATCAAGCACATGTGCAAGATTGGGAGGATGGAGAAGGTCGAGGAGCTCGTGAGAGAGATGGAATCAATTGGGGGAGATTGTTTGCCAAATGCTGTCACTTTCAGTTACTTGCTCAAGAGCCTAAAGAAACCAGAAGAAGTCCTTAAGCTATTGGAGCAGATGGAGAAAAATGAGTGCAAGATGACTAGCGACTTGTACAATTTGGTTCTGAGGCTGTATTTGGGCTGGGATTGTCAGGAAAGAGTAAGAAATACATGGAATGATATGGAGAGAAGTGGAATGGGACCTGACCAACGATCATACACCATAATGATTCACGTACTTTATGAGCGAGGGAGATTGAAGGAAGCACTGCATTATTTCGAGGAGATGGTTTCCAAGGGAATGAGGCCTGAACCAAGGACTGAAATACTGGTCAATGACATGAAATCTAACATTAATGAAGGAGAAGATGATCACAGGAGACAGAGAACCCTCAAAAGGGATGAATCAGCGCAGCGTCCACGGAGGTGGAAGGAAAAGGTTACTCAAGGACTGCCCTAAGAGAAGTCTGTCAAAGCTGCATCTTTGTCGCATGTAAATATTATGATTAACGATCAATGTCAAGATACAGGTACTTGGATGAATTGTCGTTGCCGCAAGCAAGAAAAATATCCACATCCAACACTGTCAAATTAGCAAATAGCTTAATGTTCTTGTATCATTCAATCAAACCTATCATTCAATCAAACCTCAACATTTGCTTTCACAGAAGTTGCTTTCCTTACACTTGTCAAACCTCCATTTCCGAAAAACGAGCAGCATGTACATAGATAGGCATCTCAAAAGGCCATATCGTCCTTTTATACATCACCGTTTCCTAGCAAGGACGCATACCTTTTTCCAGTCAACAGGACGCCATATTCTCCTAGCAACGCTCGCACTCTGATACGGCGAAAGGTTTAGAATGTAGATCAAAACTTCTTTGAGTCAGGATGGTTCCTTCTTTTATTCTTGAAATAAAACATGCTGACGCAGGACAGGGTCGTATTTCCGACACTTCAATTTGTCTTTGGATTGAACACTCTTCGTCTTCGCGTAAGAAAATCCAGTCCTGGCAGTCGAGACAAGGTTGATCACTTTGACACTCTTCTTGCTCCTCTTACTCTTCCTCTTAGCCTTCCTTTTCTTCCCTGGATCACCACCTCGCTTTCTTGCCTTCTTCTGTTTGTGCCAAATCAAAAACACCCCAAAATCAGATCGTCGACTCAACGATCGAACCACTTCCAAACATCAGGAACAAAGAATGAGTGTACTCGTGTCCACGTGAGAACCCCCTTGTCTTCTAAAAATGCATACCTTTCTTAAGGTCGAATCAGGAGCATATCTGTACGACATGCAGACAAGGGAATGGCATAGTGGCTTCTTCTCATCCCTCGCTGATGAAGAAATGCACCCTGGACAAGTAAAAAGAAATGGCAAAGCACCAAAAAAAGGAGTAAAAATTCCATCTTTCTCATGCAGCTTCAGTTGAGGTGACTGGTAAAAGCAACGGAATAAAGAAACAACAGATTTCTACGCCAGAAACTTTAGAGCAAACACCTAATCACGAGCGATCATGCACTGAAATCTCGGACCCTCAATTTTTCTCAGCAAACTACGAGGGAAACTCTGAAAAAAGTTGGGAACTTCGACGATCAAAGACAGCACGAGATGGATGCAAAGACATCACCTGGAGAGAAGGCACTGAGCGGGAGGTTTCTAGAGAAACAGAGGGACTTCGGAGGAGGAGCAATAAGAGACCGATTGCTTGTAATATGGGAAGCGATGGAGGAGGGAAAATGAAGGCGACAGAGAGAAGCAGCCATCTCTTTCTTTCTTGGACGTCGATGGAATGTCACGCACAGGGGAAGCACAGACGAAGACGAATTCCTTTTCAAAACTCGATCACGAAGGCTCGCGTCAACCTCGCTTAGCTCTTTTTCTTTCTTTTTGGGTTTCTTTCGACGAAGATAAAAAAGAACTGTTTCTTTTTCTTTCCACCAAATTTCGTTAATTTGGAGCCGGAGATTTCATGCAATCTTTTTTATTTGGGTTTGTTCAGGGGAATTCAACATAAAATTCGCGATATGTGATTGATTGATCTTATAGAACTGGTGGGGAGAGAATATATTCATACATCTATACAAGAAATGGCGAGGAAGGGATAGAAAAATTATAATTCTATGAGATCAATTGGCCGCTTAAGGTTTTCTCTGTCTTCTCATTTTCAATGAAAATTAAAAAGAAAAAAGCTTTTTACCTTTCGTTTTGTGATTTTTTTAAACCAGCTTGGATCGTCAAAACAAAAAGTTTCCAACATATAAACAGATTTTGAAAGCATTAAAGTTGATATTTATGTTCCATTCGAGCTGAGAGGCTGCGTTCCAATTTGGAATGAAAGTATTTGAGAATGTTTTGATAGATTTCCCTGATTTCACCTTTTCACGCTCTGTGACTAACTTGATTTTACGACACCCATTTTGGTTTTCCTGCGTAGAATTGTATAACCAAGTTTGATTTTACGAGACTTGGCCCAGAAAAGCTGGGAATTGGGTAAAAAATTTGGAAAGACGAAGAGAGTGAAACTACAATTCCTCCTAGTCCATCGTTTTGGGGGGTGGGTGGAATAATGTATATTCCGATTTCGATTTCGACACGTAATCGAGAATTCTCATGATCCATACCGACTGAAACATCAAAGAATGTCGGTCCTATTTGATTCAACATGGGGCAATGGGTACGATGTAAAATACTCATGACGCAAAACCTTTCCATAACCTCCTTCTAGGTTTTATAGAGAAGTAATTATCAAGCGGTTGCAGCCGGCGCCGGGGTATACCAGCCATGGTGGATTTCCACGGCCTTCTTCCTCCTGGCGAGCCGAGACTTTCGGCGCGCCCCGGTGTTCCTGTGCAATGTTCCCACCTTCACCGCCTTGTCGATGACAGAGTAAGCCTCCGCAATCAACTTTTCAATTTGCAGGATCTCCTCAGCTTGTGCATCAGGTTTCTTCCTAAGCCCATCTAGCTCTTCCAAAACCTGGAAAAGTGAGAAATGAAACGTTAAGAGAAGTAACAGACTATCAAAAAGAATGTTTCAATCTTTTTTCAAAAAGCTTCTGGTACAGTTGGCACATAGGTAAACCTACGGCTTTTTGAAGCGATTAACACCAACACCCATCTTACGGGACGGCAGCAGTAGATGCTATAACAATGCTAGCAGAGGAGTTACTATCTTATCAATTCCCCCCAGTTTAATGCAGGTCATCACAACAGTGAAGTTCAATCAATCTGACAACGAATATATCACTCATGATTTTCTTGATCTTATACAGTGAAGTTCAAAAACACTTAAACAACATCTATGTGCTTGATGATCATGCTATACTTCCAGAAATCTTGGAGGGAAGTCTTTGTTTTGTGCCCGTACTTAGTAAATTACCTTAGAGAGCAATTTAATAACACTTGTCAAGTTGTTTGTTAATAAATCAGATCGATGCCATCAAATTACGAAGTAATTCTCCTATTCTGTTGACAAAATGAAGCTTCCCATGGTGCGGCAAAATGAAAATTACAAAATGATATGGCTTCGAGCTAACTCGAGACTGCTATATCAATGCTCCTTCATTTACAATTCATCCATAAACAAAAGGGAATGCTCATGCCAGCAACCTTTCTATGCTTAACAGAACTACACCTGGCACCGGAATATTTTCTCTCCGGAAGGATACCAAAACCATAACCACATCCAGCCATCAGACATGTGAAAGTTTCTACCAAGCTGAACAACCAAATATGATGACCAACCATGCCTGACATTAAATTCGTGTGTAATGGCTCCGCCAAAACGCAATTTACTTAGTTGAAACATAGAGAACACATCCTGCATAATCTGCTGGCCCCTACTTATCTATCTTTCAGTTTTTGTTATGCAGTCATCACACAGCCACATCTTTCTTGCAGTGCTGCTAACCCCTTACTCTCCGATCCATTTGCATTGCACCTGCAAAGAGTATCTCCACCATTCCACTTGAGATTCTTGATGCATTCAGGTATATGCTATCTCACCTCAACTTCTAAGAGGCTCGATGACTATACTGAGTCTCCCAAAGAGCACGTTTTCAATTCAGAGAAGAGTTCCAGCATTCAACATAATCAAAATCCCAAAACACACACAGACATACTTCTCTCAATAAAAGAGCAAGGCATTATGTCAACCACAAGAGCAACCCAACACCGACCGCTGCATAACCACAACCTTAATCAACAAAATCCGAAGCCCTAGGATATACAGCAAAAAAATAAATCATTTGGACGACTTCACCGAAGACCGGTGATTAGCCGACGGCTCGCGTCACGGAACGCTTCGCACAATGATGAAATTAACGGAAAACAAACGCCCAATACCTTCTTCATCCGCGTCCTAATCTCGGACTTACGAGCCTTGTTGTACACGCGCCTCTTCTCGGCCAGGCGAGCCCTCTTGGCGGCGGAGTCCGCCCTCTTCGCCGGAGCGGCCTCGCACGCGACGGAGAAGCGGGGCGGGCACCTCCCGCCGCCGCCGCCGCCGCCGCTCACCGACAGGCGACCTGAGAAAACAAAGAACGCGGGCGAGACGAGACTGAGACACTCGAGAAGAGAGCCGAGGAGGGGGAATCGGACGACGGTGGTTCCCGTCGGGGTTACCTCCGGCGAAGGCGTCGGCGGAGATGGTGGCGGAGAATCCGAACGAATTGAAAGCGACGCGACCGTGCGAAGAAGAAGAAGAAGAAGAAGAAGAAGAGGGATTGAGTGATAGGGTTTTGAATTTGCAGGGAAGAGCGAAGCAAGAAGATAAGCTCGCCATTTCTCTCTCTCTCTCTCTCGCTGTTCGTTGTTATCTTGTAGAAGCTCCGTCGCTGCAATTAGCCAGCGAAAACGAGCGAATTCCCTCGTTTGCCCCTTGCTGGTGGCAACCTAAAAATTCAATTGCAAATCTTACTCAGAAAACTCAACTTTTTATAATGATATTAGGAAAATGACACAAATGATCTCTAAATTTTAACTCGAGGTGCAATGTAATTTATGAATTTTTAATTTATTCAATGTGGTCATTGATCTTTAGCCCAATGTGCCATGTGGTCCCTAAATTTTTAATTTGTTCAATTTAGTCCTTGAACTTTTGGGACATGTTCAATTTAGTCCCTAGACTATATGAAAATGTCAAATGTTATCAATGATCTTAAATTAATGGAAGAATTACATTGAATATTTTTATATAGTTTAGAAACTAGATGGAACATGTACCAAAAGTTCATGGATCACGTTGAATAAATTAAAGGTCTATGTACTACATTGAACATTAGGCTAAAGTTCATGGGTCATATTGAACAAATTAAAAGTTCATGGACTACATTACACATTGGGTCAAAGCTCATGGATCATTTGTGTTATTATCCTGATGATATTTAATTTTTCGTATAAATATTGTGTTTACTAAATTCTACTAAATTGAAAGCTAACTTTCTTCCGTAAAAATTACAAACTATGTTAAGATATTACAAGCCATATAAAAATTTGGGATAAGTACATTAAAAATTCTAAAAGTTTCATATGAATATTGGGGTTACTGCCCTCGCCATTGCTACCCCACCATTGCCGGCAAGGGCCGATGACGGTGGGGGATAGCTAGCAAGCATCACCTACCATAGAGGATCGCGTTTCTTACCCAAACCTAGCTGAGGGTCGCTAGTGGCGGCCCTCGCCGACCACTGGGTGGGGCCCAGTGACCTTTGTCGGTAATCCCACACCTCTATTGGCCCTTTCCTTTCTTGAGATAGTGGAGTCTCCTTCTCTTTCTTCTTTTTTTATTTTAATTATCTTATTTTTTAATTTAATTTGAATAAAATGTCCATTAAAAATCATATTTGGATCAAAACGACGTTGTTATAACCAACAATCATGTTTTAGCCACATCATCACAACGCAGCAAAGAAAAAATATTTAAGAAAACCACAATATACTCAATTGCACCATTTTGATAAATTTTAAGATTTGATTGCACTTTTTGTAAATTTTAAAATCAACTGCACTTTTGTGAAAATTTTAAGTACACTTATCCAAGAAAGTTTTCATTACTAAATTCACTTGGAAGTTTCGTTAAGCAAAATGAAAAAGCCGCGAATCATTAAAACCCCGAAACTTGTTTTTGAGTTTAAAAAGTTAAAACAGTAATTTCTGACATTTTGAGAAGTCACCATTCGTAATAGACACCTTGTTAATGGCCTTGAGATACTTCCCGTTAATCCGCACTAATAATGAAAAAGTTCCTAACCACGATCGTCGATAAGGTGCTAATCACAGTGCAAGTTGCTAATCACCCTGCTAATCACATTGGTGATTTAGCAATCTCCGTCAGTGATTCCTTAACCACTGGCTATAGACAGCAGATTTAGCGCATACCAGCCGTACTGCCTTATTTCTATCCCTAAAATGGTGGCACAGAGATCCCGCCCCAGAGATAACCAGACAACGGCAGTACGCTTTTACTTGGGGATTAACCAAAAGTTGGCTCCGATAACCTGCGAGATTTACAAGTTCCGTTCCAAAAACTCTCATTCAAGCAAGCATTCAAAGCGGGCATGTTTTTCCGAGCAAAAGGAAGAAAGACGGCCTTGAGCACGGACTATATGCTCCTCCCGAGTTCCGGGAGGTTTGACTTCGTCTAGAATCTTTCAGCTGTCATTACAACAGGTTGAGCCTCAGAATGCCTTCTTGCAAGATAGGGACCCCTTCTTACAGCATCTTGCAACTGTGCAAAGAAGGAACATCATCAAGTCCAAATATACGCAACCCGTGCTTTTACATAACACAATCTCGGTATGACAAGGTAGAAGACAGAGATGATGCATTCCACTTTGTGCAAGATTCGTGTATCTTTACCTTGCTAGCAATTTTAGCCAAAGAAGGATCGCTCATCAGTTTGGTTGAACGTGTGAAAGCTTTGTGTATCGCTTGGCAGCAACTGTACCTAATTTCCATACCTGAGAAGTGGACCAACCAAATTAAAACGCTAAATGAGAGGCAAGTAATGGACAATGCTTCAACCCACTCAACAGAGAGAGAGAGAGAGAGAGAGAGAGAGAGAGAGAGAGAGAGAGAGAGAGAGAGAGAGCAACATTCTTCCACATATAAATCAGAACATTCAACTCCAGACGACTTTTATTCATTTGCATTTGTGTCTTTGAAGTCGCACGAGCATTTGATGGACTCAGAAATAAACAAGAATACGGGCAAGCCCAAAGACACCCCCCAGGCAACAAAAGCAGAAGAAACAGAAAAACAGAAAAGAAAATATAAGAAAAGAACTTCCTGAGGATCACCTAAACAAATTTATGGTCTAATAGATGTAATTACCAACACTTATATACATAGAAATAGCATTAACATGATTACTAAAGCTCCAACCTACATGCTTGAAGCGATAACATCTCCGTCTGACGATCATGTTGGTGATGATTGCTGTAACATGGTGAATAGGAAAGGGAGCAAAAGAAAAATACCTATTTTTGAGGTTTCAATGCTCGGGTCAGTTACGATATCTACTATCTCTTCTTTTGAGCAGATCTCCATCAGGCACCATGGCCTAGCTACCAAAGCTGTAATCAGCCTATAACCCTGGAAATATCAAGTTCATCACAATGATTGACGAGCAAAATTAACCACAAATAGCAATGAACTTCATTAAGCACATAGCTAAATACTGTCAAATAGATCTCAACATTCATTGGTCAATTTCCAATATAGGACAAGAACACCAATTTACACTCGCGCCTTGATTATATTAATTTATTTTTACCTTACATCTAAGGAAGTACAAAGCTTGGCTCCTACAAAAAGTTTTTTCCTCTTTTGTGCATAGGAAAATAACAAAGGACCGATCACTATGTTTCCTGGAAAATTAAAGAAATCATACTTGATGCTCCTGATTACTGAATGGATCTGCTTGCTGTAACCATAAGTGGATACACAATAGTAAAACTGAGAAACAGTAGGAAGCAACCAGAAAGGTAATGACCAACTGGATTCATAATTCCTATAACAAAATCATCTATTTCCAGTGCTCGCCTCTTTCTCTTCAGCTAAAGAAGCAATTGTAGAAGACACCATACTCAGGACATTGAATGATTTTATAAAAAAAAAAAAACCAAGGTCGGTCAGCACAAAGCAGATGCATGTTATGCACGAAGGCACAAACACAAACAATAACAATTTTGCCCAAATTTAAAGCAGTGCAAGTTCCACATTTGTCACATGTAAGGACTGATATATAGTAAGGTTTTATAAATTAAATGCGTAAGACGGTAAATGACACACCGCTAAACGTGTTTCTGCCTCCTGCTGAAGAACTGATAGGAAAAGACCCTGTGAATCATGGCACCAGCTCAGCAATTGGAAGGGAAAAGAAAAAGGTTCTAAATCACCCAAGTAAGAAGAAGTTGCTAAGCAAGCAGGTAACAATTTCAACATACTGTCTTCAAGGTTGTTGCTTAATGCTTTATATCTATCACATATTCATCTCGCTAGGTCAGGAGAAGTATCATTTCTATTAAATGGGTGAACACAACAGCTAGTTAGTCATGCTCCCCGGCTTTTGCTCTAAAATTAACATAAAAGCACTAAAAGGAAGAGATTCCATAGAAGAATATAAACTAAGGGACAGACAAGATGAGAAACTCTGAACAGGGCAGTCTTGTGAGTTTATTACGAGATCATAGACCTTCATGTCAATATGAATTACAAGTATACTCAAGGTCGCAATGAGTCAATGAACCAAAGGAACTGCTGTTGATGACTCCAGAATTTTCTCCCAATCATGGGACCTGTCAACCTGTTCATGAAGTCTAATCTGGATTTCACAAACTCTGCACTTATAAAAAGCTTAAGGCACAACTTCTCATTTATCTAAATTGTCCTCAATTTCCTCAACTTCCTCAACTGCTATATCCCATTTTGCTTCTCTGTTCCCCTCTGTGAAGTATGAGGCACATTCCACTATCACAAATAATCAATTAAGTTTCATTTCATATCACTAGCTTTTCTAGACAATTCATATTTGGAATCTCCATTTTGCTCTTGAACCTCTTAAACCAAAGAACAGATTACAAAGAGGGCCACTACCATAAGCTAACACACTAAAAGGGGACAAGGAGACACTACTTACATAAGGTGTCAACTTTGGACTCCTGGATGCTGCCTCATATATCAAGAATCTAAGGGTTTCTTCTGCAGAACCATTCAGTATTACACTATTCTCTGACCGAGCTTCTCCAGCCAAATTTCCCAATGCATGCAATGCGGCCTGTGCAATTTGAAATCATCTCATAAATAAACTACCATAAGAGATATAAGTGAACCCTTCGACCATGGCTTACCGTTTGTCATGGAGTAAGCCATAAATCAAGACATGTACAGAACAAAGATTTGACAAGTTACAAACTCTCAAGGAGCTACCCATAGTTCGCACTATAACGGAGACAACATAGCTTCTCTAAATTGTGGCAAGATTGGTGAACGTGATAACAGTAGACAAATCTAGGCATAGCACATATCCAGGGGAAAACATTCATTGAATAGGTCGCTCATATTAGACAGTACCGAAGAACCAATGAAACTCTAATGTAATTAAAATATTGTTTCTAAAAGTCATCTCACTTCATCTAGAAAAAGGACAGGCTTTCACTTATGCAGTATCCAACTCACATTCTCTACACTTTGTCCATCACCTTCGATATCATTACCTTCTCAAATTACAAGTATTGACTATATCTCATGCTATATAACAGATCCTTAATTCCAAGATTTTCACACTAATTGGATCCCCTTTATTTGATAATTAATCATGACAAAACAGAGAAAGAGTTGCATGGACAAAAGCATCAGATATCTGCTCACCAGCTGTTTACCGCGTCCTTGTCTGTCAAAGGCAGCATACGCTACATGTCTCGCAACAGGAGATGTGCTCGACAACAATAATTCAGCTCCCTGAGTTGCTAAAGGCCAAAATAATAGACAGAGAGAGAAGAGAAAATCTTAGTTTCCCATGGGTGACGGCACAAATTAATCAAAAAAACAAAAAAAAAGAATCGTTACTGCGGCAAGCTTGGAGACGGAAAAAGAAGTACACTAATCTGTTAAACCAGCATAGAATGAGTTAGCTAAGCATCTTCTAGCAGGGTAAATGCTGGCAATCTTTATATTCTCTCTTTCAATGTATGGTAACAATTCATTTAATTCATGAACTAGCGAAACAATAAAAGCTCCTCCTTGTGGCAGGGATCACAACAGCCAGACAAACTATGGCAAACCAACGCAGTTCTACTAGCCTACATTTAACCAGCTATGATGGTTAAAGTACTTACGTAATCCAATTTGACCTAACGCTTCAAGGGCAGATTCACATTCATCTGCATCTACACTCTCCGAACAGCTGAGTCTCCCATCAATGGCAGAAACAACTACTCTGACACCTGCACTACAAACAAGTATCTTCGAATTATCACTCAATAGGGCAAGGATTCAACCTCTAATACAAATTCTCAATGGGACAAACAACTCATGCAAGAATAATGTCACTTTACAATTGAAAGAGAAGCTACAAAAACCATAGTATAAGAACTCTTGTAGACAAGCCACTCAATGAAGCACACCAACTTCCTCGATTGTACCAGTGAGAACTTGAATATTAGCTATTGCACTGAAATGTGATGAGATAGAAAAATTATCTGAAATATGAAGGCTATTATAGTGCACAAATTTGCTTAGAATGTGCTGACATAAGGCAAGACCTACCAAACAATTAACCTCCTAATTACTACAAAAGCTAAAAATTGGGCATATCAGGGTCAAGCTACGCAGAAAAGATGGATTAGCCTTACTGGATTCGTCTGTAAACATATAAGTGTCCTCCTTGGACAGAAGTCTTCCGCATATCATCATTGCTCTGGACCTCAAAATTGACTCCAATGATGCATTACTACAAACAATGACAGCTATCAGAGTGATGACAGTTTAGGACTTGTAGGAACTAAAATTCAGAAGAAGACAGAAAGCTTTCAACTACCTTATAATAGAAGAAAGAAGCTGAAGAAGTGAAGTGCTTGACAAAATTTCCGTTGCATGCCGAATCTCAACCATCTTGTTAAATGAACAAAGGAGAAAAAGAATTAGGAAAATTTAGAGAAACAGAGGAACATAGATTGATAAAGCTGAATAAGTATTACGGATGTATGTAGTTCATTGAGCCAAGGATAACACCTCCCCCAAATAAATATTAAAAGACTGCAAGTGCATGAACAAGTAGTATGTTTCTTCACTAGGAAAAGAAGAAAGGGAGAAGCATAGAGATTAACAAACCTCATACAGGAGCTCCAGAACACTTAAAGTTACAAGGGTGTCTTGAGAATTGCTGATTTCTGCCTCAAATAAACTTAGTAGATTGGAACTGTAGATAATTGATGCCACGGAGCTGGAGACAGAAAATAGCTTTACTATCAAAGCTAGAACCCGAACACGACCCTGAAACATGGTAATTAAATTAGAAACTTCATTAAGACTCCACTTGCTATGAGTGTACATAGGCAGGTGTACATGCAAACGTAGTGCAAAGGCAAGTATGGACTTGGTCAATCAGCATCCATTACTTCAAGGTACAATAATAATGTCTTCGTCAAAACTACCATTGCAAAGGTAGTGCAAAGGCAAGTATGGACTTGGTCGATCAGCTTCCATGACTTCATGGTACAATCATAATGTCTTCGTCAAATATTCAATCACACTCAACCAAAAACTACCATTGCAAAAGTACTTGGTGGATTTTTTGCATGAGATTGAGATCTCAGCATAGTGACCAAATTATCTATTCATCAGTACCTAGGATTTCACGTCTATCACTTGTAATCAAGAATTTGAATAGAAAGGAGGGGCGGAGGGTGACTACCGTTCTTCAAATATAAACAGACAAAGGGAGTAACAAGCTGATCGAACTTGTTCTGGTTAACTGATACAAGGCAACTCAAGCTCAACTGTTTAAGTAACAACATATATACAGCCGTACCAATGACGTGCATTGAGCTGCTAAGTTTCTAAGATGCGTAACTTCGTTGTCACTGGCTGGAAAAACAATGTTCTGCAAAGTAACACAAGACAGCCATCTCAGGCAAGTAGCTTATAATATCAATAAATCGAAGCCACAAGATATAAGTCTGAGCACAGAACAGAGCCAAATCCTTACTGTGCCTCCCTGAAAGCATGCCAGAGTCTTAATAGCATCCATTGAAGCTGCGGCAACTTGTTCATTTCTATAAAACAAACAAACTACATTTCTTAAGATGCCAGAGCCTAACATGGATATTGTCAATCACAGAAAATAACACCACTTCATTTTATTAAAACCTAGGTAGGAGTCTTGAAAGGAATAACCGAAACTTTTTCTGATCTTGAAGAGAATACCATGCCATACATCCAAGTTACATAATAGTTCATTCAACAGTCATTAACTCTTTGTTCCAAAAGTTTTTAAGAGAGCAATTTTCTCCTTTGGCATCTAGATAGAAGACTATGGAGAGAAGACAATTGGTGGTAAAAGTAAACATATGTAAGTTATAATGACAAATTTACCCTTTAAAACAGTAATGCTTTTCAAGTCCGCTAAGAAAGGTATAACGAGCAGCAAAAGGTCAGTTTGGAGAGAATTAATCTCTCTCAAAATTCCTTTCCAATCCTTCACTTCCTCTCTCTTTCGATTTCCTCACTTCATCCATAAAAGGTAGTAACAGAGCAGATGGTGCTAATGGACAGAGGCTGCTTAATTCCCGATATCTCACTGACCAAGCTCCGGACCACTATGTAGAGTCTGCTAAAGAAGGTCTAGTAATTGCATCTCTAGTGAAATTGTCAGTCTCAGTTGATAAATTGCTTTGAATGCCGAATATAGTTGGCACTTCTACAAATTCCTTGGTAGTTTTGCGAGTGGGAAGTGAAGCCTTTCTCATTTTCTTTTACTAGGAAATTTGAATACTATCTCCTTGACATCTCAAATCACCGAACTTGTCGAGTGTCAGTCAATTCATCTTAAAATTTTAAATGGACGTCACAATGACTAGTGGCGCAAGATACAGGGACATCTCTATAGTGGCTGCCGCTTTACTCGACAAGACTGGGGTTTCAGTCTCAAAAGTCCCTCCTCCACCTATATATGTATATACTACTTCTACCTTTATGGAAACCCTTACACATGGCCAACTTCCTCTCTCTCTTAAACTTCCCATTTCTAGCATTATTTAAACAACAGACGATGCACATGGAGCAGACAGTCAAGATCAAGACATTCCACAAAACAGAGTCGATTGGAAAAAACTCCTAATAATGTTCTTACCCATTAACAAGGCTATCAAGCAAAAGTGGGTAAATATTGTGGTCAATAATTATCTTCACAGCAGACACAGACTTTTCATCAGAATTCTCCAACAGGCAAGACACCTGAAAGAATTAATAATTAGAAGAAATATGCATAAAAAAACTAAGAGCACAATTCAAAGTCGAGGTATCATATAACTTTGAAATCAGGGTGGACATCTGATCTTTTAATTTCTCCTTGACACAACTCCAGTGAATATCTCCCTCAAACTAAGTTCGGTAACTCCCTAAACATTCTTACTTCTAAATTCCAATATCATTCAGGAGAAATAGGGACAAACAAAAGAAACACATATAAAATTTCATCAAGTCGATAAAATTGACTTTGACATTTTTTTCCTTTCCTAACTATAAGAAACCAGAAGGTTTTACCAAGTATAAGCAACCGGGAGCTTTGTGATCTTCTATTTACCCTTGACAAATTAGGATCATCTGCAAATCACTGTAATCAACCTAGGAACGCTTTGTTTCCCTTTGTCTATAACCAATCCCATCAGAGAAGGTGATTATCAATCTAACTTTGGGAGGATGGAAACCAACAACATTGTTTTAGAAAAATGAAGCGGCATACAGAGTAACGAACACATGTGGAACACTCCGAGCTCTTTCCAGAATTGGCTGGCTGACTTTCTTTGAAAGATCTTTATGTAATGACTGGATGCGCTCGTTTAGCAATTGTCAATAAACTCGCTATTTATGAATTACGGCAAGGTCATGACAATGGTCCACCTCATGACTACGGGTCGGCAGCTTATTCTCTAAGCTAAAGACTGGGACATTGGAAGTTAGGGCTGTGAACCGAGTGCGGTTGGCATTCTGCATTTCAAAAGTTTAACGTGTGCTATCTGGTGTTGTAATCGTATAGCCACAGAACACAGAAATCCTCGATTGGACCTAACTCAATACCAGGTGTTGGAACCTATCTTCTGCTTACCGTCTTGCAAGCTAGACATCTGACTTCTTGTGAAGCTGCCTGCAATCCCACTTGCACAAAAGGCTGCACAAACAGATGAAATTCGGGGAAGCATGAAGCTCTTCTTTCCATGTAACTAACACACGCAAGCGCGCAGAGGGGCAGAGAGAGAGCCGCCTCGACTACGAACGCGATTGAGATGCGAGTCAAATCCATCCAAAAGGAGTCCACATGGTACAGGAACCTAAGATTATAGAAGGGGTTTTCAAGCATACCATGAAGTGCGGGATCAGGGAAGCGCCGTATTTGGTCTGGAACACTCTCTCCAGACAATTGACCAGCGTACTTTCGAGACCGGGCACATCCGCTCCCGTTTGCAAAGCGCTGCGTATACGAGAAAAACAAAAATCAAACAAGCTCCACTCCTAACTTCTCGAGCAAGTCTCTCCCAGAATCAGCAAAAAGCAAGCGACAATGAACAGTATACAGACGGTCGTGAGTTGCCATCGGGTCGCGAGAAAGAAGAAATCCAGCGAAAACGAGGGAAGGAAACGGGTTAGGAAATAGAACAGCGAGCTTGTCCGAAGGGAAAAGATCAAGCCGGGAAAAAGAAAAGAGTCGGAATCGTCCCCGAAACACGTCACCTGATGATGGCAGGAAGAGGAAAGCGATCGAGGAATTCCTTCGCGGCCGCGTCGTTCTGGGCGCCTGAACCAGCACCGACAGACAAAGGGGGAATGAACGAACGAAACAACAGCTGCCCCGGGGGAAACCGAGAACGGTTAAACGTGAAATCGGGAGAGGGAGGAGGAGGAGGATGGGGGAAGCCCTAACCGGGATAGTGGGCGAAGTCGGAAGCGGCTCCGAGCAAGCGGGAGGTGTCCGCCATCGCGTATTCTTCCTCCATTGGCGCTCTGCTCCTTCGCTTGACGAGTCGAGCGATGAAGCAGCAGAACTGGGCAAGAGAAGAGAGAGGGAGACGTTGCTCGGCTTCGTGTATTGGAGGAGAGGCGCGTGGCAATCGCCGTGGGTTCGTGTCTGAATTACAACGAGCCTCGACACTTTTACTTAACGAAAAACATTTTCAAAAAAAAATAGTAATAATTTGTATTATTTAAAATAATTAATCAATAAAAAAATATGTCTGTTGTTGATAAGGGTAAATAACATGAACCAACTGAATCAGGAACTACTTGGACCGGACTGAACCGACCGATTTTAGACTGCTCCAGGGGCATCGATCCAGTTCCCCATCAGCGCTCATGGAAGTCGTGGCTTCACTCACCCTCATCTTGTGGTTACTCCGTAGCTTCACCCTGACGGTCTCGTCCCCTTGGCCAATCATCCACAAGGCATGGCCCCACCGGATCTCCACCCCCCCACCACCTCGTCCCGGCCTCTGACATGTCCATCTTGTGCACGAACGCCACCACCTTCTCTTCCCTTCCTCGATGATCTAGGTGTACGACGTGGTTCCCCCACACGCACTGGGAGGCGAGAAGTTCGAGAGGGGTGACGAAAAAGAAGGTCGCATATTTTATTTTCTTTCCGCACTTATCGTGCGGTTCTCACGTTGGATTGCCTAGGAACCGGTCTTTATAGTATGGTTCCCAAAATTTTTGAGTGGGGATCATATTGGACTGAGAAATGATCACCTTAGTTATCGATAATAATTTATATTTTTACATTTTTGCAAATAATAAAAATATTTTTCGTTTACTTATATCTTTTTATAAATGATTTAAGTGTAAAATGCTTTTCAAATTATTCGTTTTCCGCAAAACAATATCTCCCAAAAGTGCAGCTCGATCTATTTGAGAAATGGGCTTCTATTGGAGGACAAGCCCAGGATATATTGCCGGACAGCCCGTTCAATTTTTCTTTCCTTTTATTTTTTTCTCTCTTTTTTAATAAAAATAATGACAGGAGCAAGGGTTCACTTCTCTAGCATAGTAATTCCACGCTAAAACCAGAACTTTAATATTTTTCCTGAACAATTATAACCCCACCCGTGACCGCAAGTCTTGAGTAGAATGTACATGGACGAGTCGGTCGTAGTAACCTTGTCGAAAAAACTAATCAACGTCTCCATCTTTTCAGGTGGAGCGCTAGCTCTACTTTACACGGGAATCGAAATACCACTTTCTTCTATACTCGGGTTTCACAGCCCTAGTTGTCTATCTAAATGAGGTTTCTGCCCCTAGCGAGGAACCAACTGATGCGGAGGAGGTTAGGATTTGATGAAATGTATATCGAAATTCCTTTGTACCCTTTCATTATATACAACAACTCGAGCAATAGTTCACATAATCATACTAAACCCTAAATAGATGTCACAAAGTTCCGAAGAAGATTTCGGAAGGAATTGATGCGCAAGTGGGATTCTGAACAGTGTTATTTTGGTGGGCCTGGACAGAAAAGTGCTTTCCGTCTCCTTGGCCCAAGCCCACCCGTTTAGGCCCGGACGTTTTACATTGATTATTTGGGCTTTCAGACAGCATCGTTGGTGGGCGGGTCAACTCTTGTCCACATCGCTCGGTGACCGCTCCTACTGTTGGACCATTGACCTCGAGGTGTTCAAGAGTTTGGCCCACTGATCAAGCCCAACTTCCTGCTGTTAAATCTGTTTCGAGTAATGCTAAGGATACCGAGAAAAGGTTTCGCTAGCATAACAGATTTCTGACTCACTGCATATTGTGAATCACAAATTCTTGAAAGAATGAATCCACAGCAATTTATAATTTATTTGTTTATTGTTTTTTTTTTTCAGAACATGATATTAATCTCATAGTAGATTAAGGACAGTCACTTAAGAGAAATGCTCAGAAGATAGTATATCCACCTAATCACACATCCCAAGTGTATGTGGTCAAGCTTAAATAGATTTTGTCAATTTGAAAAATCCTGCACTGGAGGATGTGTGGCCAGGAGGATACGGTCACTTTGTGGAAAGTGACGGTACCATTCTCTAAGTATTGCCTATCACTTAATCATTTCTCTTTACAAAATTACTGAACTAATTGACATGTCACGGCGTCATTGGATGTTGAGCAAGGCTCGTTGGTTCACCCGACTCACTCACTCATTCGAAGGCCCTATGGCACTACTTAATATACTAATCTCGTAGATCAATGCTGCAGTAACCCTAGCATCACTCATCTCCTTTGCCCCCAAATCTTGTGCTGTCATATCCTTTGTTTCAAACTTAATACACAACAGAGAAACAAGAAAACAAGAAAGAAAATGCCCGAGAAGAAGAAGAAAAAGACAGGAAACAAATGCGCGGTGTGCTACCGTACTCTGCCGCTGTAATGAGATGCAAGCAGAAGAGAAGAAAAACATGCGGCCTCGGCCATCATGTCTTGCCCCCGCTGCTGCGTCTTCCATGGCCGTACTTCCTGCGAAGCCATGTTCGAGTGTATTTTGGCGCTTCTTAGGGTGTTTGGTTGGACCGTTTCGTTGTCTTCTCCTCTTCGTGAACACGAACGCGATCAAATCAAAAAGTACAGGTCTTCGTCACCTTTCGAAGATGGAGGGAGATCATTGCATTGCCGATTCACCGGCAGATCTGCCATCCTCCCCTACCTCGTGCTGACCCACACAAGCCAAGCCCGTATCTTGGGTCATGATGATGAACCCGAACTCCACCGCCCCATCCCTACGCGAAACGCGACTCTTCATTCGAAACATCTTCGAACGACGTCTCGCTTTCTTTGACCGAGACAAAACAACACGATCACATGTTTCGCATGGGCTTCTATTGTTGGAGTTGGCGAATACTTGAGAGGCCTTGTTTCTACCGCCAGTGCGCGCGTGAGCTAGGAAGCGAAGTGTTGTCAGACGACATGTGACCCATGCGCGCGGAATCGGGGGTTCGGGCGGCGCCCACACTGGTGCCCATTGCCGGTCAGTGAGCGGGGTTCGGGCGGCGCCCACGGCGAGTCGACGGACGGGCCCCAGCTCCGCCGTGACGGGCGGGGGCTCGAGGCGGCGCCCCCTACCTCAACGGGTTTGGGGCGCCGTATAGTGCGAGATTAAGAGATTTCGTATAGGTTTAGGTTTTGGGCCGTTTGGGGCATATATATATTTTGCTCGTTTTTCTGATCATTGTAACGAGTTTGAGTGGCTGTAAACCTAAAAACATAGTGAAATCTCTTTGCAGGACGTAACCCAAATCGAGGGTGAACCTGGGTAAACTCGTGCATCGTCTATTTTCTCTGTTTTCTGCGTGATCGTTCTGTTTCGGTTCTCGATACGTCCTTTCATCTATCACCTACCCTTTTTGGAAAAAATTGAATTTTTCGGATCGGTAAAAACACTAATTTCCATCCCGAGTCGCGACACGTCACGAACGCAATGAAAGCACCAGAACGACAATGTTTGCAGCAAAGGGCCCCGTCTGCTGATGTTTGCATACGCTGAGCATGTACGATTTAGTGTGCGTGTAGACTGTAGACGCATAAATACACAAAATCTAGATGGACCCTAGAGATTTCCAAAGCTACGTGGTTATAGAACAATTGATGAACTGCGATAACAGCAATAAATCTGTCCCCCACCTAACGAACTACGCATCGTAATTAGCCCCTGGATGAGCTACGGCCTGTCCTCGAGCCTCTCTGCTCTCACGGCCACGCCCAGAGTAGCCTCGACTCGAAAGCAAACCGTCCCACGTACCCGCACATTTCGTGTTTCTCTAGACCACCACATTCAACTGCCTCTCTTCAATGTTTCGAGCATGATATTGAATGATTTGATTTGACGTATACCAAGGCCTACGCCATGCATACGTATCGTTATCAATGCTTGAGTCGACATGTCTATCTGTTTGTGATTTTTGTCTGGCTTGGCAAGTGACATAGAAGAAAGGACAAATAAGATTCCTTACGAGGCCGGAATATCCGACTGTCGTTTTCGATGCGTGACTTAATTGGGTAGTAAGCTTCACCATCCAAGTAAAGGCCATTTGATGCTGTAATTTTCTACAATAAGCTGGGGTGGATAGGGATTTCTGTGTGCTGATTGCTGAGCTCGACCTTGAAAATGGTACTTGGGTTTTCACATTTACAGTAGTTGCTTCTGGAAAAATCTTTTCCATTGCGTAAATGGAGACTGAAATGGAGAAAGAAACGACCAAAAGACCATAATAAATCAGCTGCTTGGACTTAGTCGTGTCAAGAATTTTATTAGGGATGGTCGCAGCAGTTCTAGAAAAATCGCCAGTTGAGAGCCTCAATTTGGGAATTGAACCGGTTCAGGCCGATTCCCGACTTTGTTACCCGTGAATCTACTCGGTTCACCTATGAACTGGTTGGCCCATGCCTGTTTGAGTCGGTTCCGATGTTGAACTATGACTTGGGATCTAAACCGGTTCAGGGCAATTCCCTGCTTTGTTACCCGTGAACCTACTCGGTCCACTTGTGAAGCGGTCAGCTCGTGCCCGTTCGAGTCTGTACCAGCATTAAACTGGACTCGGTGCGCACTCCTTAATGCTATAAAAGGAAAACATGTCGGATGTTCGACATATATAATCTAGAAGCAGTACAGCAGAATAATTGTATGTGGACATGTCCTTATAAATAGTTTTCTCTTTTTCCATTAGAGACCAAAAAAGAGGCAACCGACATGCCCTACTCGTCATCGACGTTACTACGAGAATCTAGCACAATTTAAGACTATTAAGAGATCGCCACTTACCACCATACTCATAACCCATTAGCCTGAGAAGGCTGAGTTCGATACCAACGTGACGAACTTAGTGGAGCTTTAGATATTCGAGAACACATTCAAAAGCAGGATACACAAAACAAGTTCCCTTTCGTGATATCGCATTCAATTTCAAGAGATAGGAGGGGCAGCTGATGTGGTCACACACTATCGGCGTCACCACGAGAATCCCTCACGCCCAAATGTTCAGATTCGAGACTATCAAGTTATCATAACTCATCGCCACTCGTAACCATTAATCTACGATAAACACGGGGCGCGACACCATAACCTCATCGACGTGCTAGAGATCCATGACCTGCCATACGATTACACAACCATTATCGGTTATCTAGCTGTACTCGTCTCTTACCTAAGATAAGGGCTCCTCATTCCTTCAGCAAATGGCTGACTTACAGTTGATCCTTCGCGCCAATGGAATTTAACTCCGAAAAAGTCGAAGACACCATCTCCGTTCAACACACAAGACACGGACACAGACAAAGTTAAGAGTACATTATTGCCAAAACAGTTACAAGCTAGTGTTCTTGGCATGTCCAATTATTGAAACGCAACAGAGACATCTCAAAGGTGCAATAACTCAAAGAGGGCCTATAAATACCAATGTCAGTTCTCGCAGCCAAAACCGCCGTTATGGCATTGCTATCCTTCTTATAGGAGACCGCGAAACGATAGAACGCAGTGACGCACGATTTCTGCATTGATGAGCACACCGAATCGTGAGGAAGCTTTGGAAGCTATCTACAAACGACATTCAATGCCGTAGCTCTTCGCTTAGAGATGTGAAGCATCTTTTTGACACGCGAATCTTATTATGTCCGTGATCAGAAATTTATGATGAGTCATAAATTCATCAAGAAAATGGCAGCTATGGTTGTCCCCCAAGATTCATCTTACGAGGAGAAACATTAACCATAACTTCCCTCCACATGAATCTGAAACTTGCTATATATCTCAAATACAGTGTCATGCGAACCACTTGAAACGGTTCTATACGATGCTGTGATTGCGGACCAATTTCCAGCCTTATTAATTGCAGCCATTAAGAAGTTGAATATCCAATGCAATCGCATAAGTAAAGTCGCATAAGGTTTGGCCCTCTGCACAGGAGCTTGGAAACAGGTCCAGTTTTCAGAGTTAGAAGAGACAAAGATATAATGATGAAGCATGCATAATACATACGGATTCCAACTTGCATAATATAATACTGGGAACTCCAACGTAGTACAGTCTACGTGCTAGCACAACAACAATAATCCCTCAGGGATTAACACTAAGCTACCTAAAAATACCACAATAGCAAACACACTTCCCTAATGATAACTTGACCTTAACAGACAGCTCACATAACACAGATAAAGAAAGTTCAATTAGAAACCCTAGAACGCATGCAGTGCGACATCAGAAGTTCCACATGCAGTCGAGCTCCGATGAGCCCATTCCCATACGGCTACCGAGGGCCACCGCCTTCTGATCATCCAGAGCCGACCAATTCCCCAAAGAGCTTGAAGTCGAGCCGACCAATTCACCGATTCCACCACTAAGATGCTGGTTAGCTGAAAAGAAGTAAGGCAGCTGGAGATTCTCCTGCAGGGACCTCAGGCTCGGGAAAGCCGAGACGCCAATGCTCCTGGAGAGTCGGGCCATTGGGTCAGTCACATTGATCAGGGAAGCCGTGGGAGGAGCCAACTGGAAGCTAGGGTTGCTGCCGAAATTGTGGGTTGCCGAGGAGGCGGCAGCGGCCGTGGAGAAACAGGACACGTGCTCCTTAAGGGTTGAGCTGTCATAAGAGTTGGGGACACGGTCGATGAACGCCGTGGTGGTGGTGGTGGTGGTGTAAGGAGAGGAGTCGAGCAGTGGTGGGAGAGAGACCGAGGGGGAGCCAATTTCTGGGTAGAGGTTCATGTGGGAGGCCAAGCGGGTCTTCTTGCCACCACAAGGGACAGCGACGCCGCAGCCGTTGCTGGACTTCTGGAAAACGCGGGAGATCACCCACTCATCCTGCAAAACTAAAACCATTTACACAGAGAAAAAAGACGACCGTTTTCGGAACTGCATTGGGTACCATTTTGCGCCATAGCACACACATAGTATAAATACAATAGCCATTCTTCAGAGCCAGCCTCTGGTAGTAAGAACACTCTGATCAACCTAGGGTTTTATGGAAATCCAGCTAAAATTTGACGATGATGTTGCCCCATAAGAACCAGAAGATTGACTAATCTTTTACGTTCTTGTTTCTGCACCTACTATTTACCCATTCATAAGATGTGGAGTTAATGATTTCAAAGTTAAAATTTTACTGACAAAGTGTGCTCGGCGAATCGTCCTAGCCCTAACCCGAGTATGATACATCTTTAACAATTCTAACAATTAGAAGCCAATGACTCAAAACAATTTATGTTGATAAAATTACTCAATTCGGTCATCCTACAAAGCTGTTTCCAAACATGACTCCCAACTTACATTAACTTGTCAAATACAGTTTAGAAGTTCTCATTGCTGGTGGCATCACTCTTTGATCTACAATCTATACACGACGTACTCATGTTCATCAATCCGCTTTCCCGAATAAGATCTACACAAACACTGTCATGGAAATGACTATTAGACATCTTTACAAGTGAAATTAATCACTACAGGTTAAAAACAATTGAAATTTTTAGAATAAGCAAATCACTGTCAGCAAAAAGAAAAAAACCTTACAACTCAGAGAGGACATACAAATCCAAAAAAATGCAGCAAAATAAGAATGCCACTCGACACGTTAAGCTTCTTTTTGTTTTTTTTTAATTGTACGACGCTTTAAACTTCAAAACGTGAATAAAATAACCGGGGTTAAGAGGTCAACTCTCAGCGACAAAACAACAAAGTCGCTTAAACCATTTTAACGGCCCAAGACTTAACTCCAGTGAAGTCTCATGCCATGCATACAAACTAGCTGTTCCATACAATGAGCATCTGCTACGTCTTCATGAAAGCAGTTAAAAGGCAAGATAACAGGGTTCGAGAAAGCTTCCAAGCGCAGAGAAAAATGCGACTAACATAATCACTGACACATTAAACCCAAAGAGAAAAACCACTCGGACCGCACAATCAAAACACACCTCGGAGACAGATACGGATAGAGAGAGAGAGAGAGAGAGAGAGAGAGAGAGCAAAACGCCCCCGACAAAACGATACGATGAGTACACGCTGGAAGTGAAAACGAGTAGTATACCTTGGAGGAGCGGGAGAGGAAGGGGTAGGCGAACTTGCCGTCGAGGCGGAACTCGTGCATGACCCAGTTGCTCTTCTCGCCCTTCGGGGCTCGTCCACGGTAGAAGACGAGGGTCTTCTTCATGCCCACCAGCGACCCCGTCTTGCCGCTGTAGATCTCCCGGTCCTTCCCCGTCGCCTTCCAATACCCCGCCTCCGTCGCCCGGTTTGTCCGGAGCCCCGTCGGGTACTTCCGGTCCCGCAGGCTGAAGAAGTACCACTCCTTCTCCCCCATTTTCGCCTTCTCTGCAAGAAACAGCGTCAGGAGACTTGTACGAAAAGAAAGTGCTGGCGCCCTGTGGAGGATTTGTCTTACCGGGAAGCTCCCAGGGCTCGCACTTGTTGAGGTCGACCTCGGCGATTGCTCGTCCGGTGAAGCTGCTGTCAAGGACCTTCTTGAGTAGGTAGTACGTGATGAGCTCCTCGTCGGTGGGGTGGAACCGGAAGCCCGGAGGCAAATGCCCGTCGCCATTGGCGAGGATGTGGTTGTTGAACTGGTGGTAGTTGTCCATGTCGAGACAGTCAAAAGCGAGCGAACACAGCGAAATGACTCGAGTGAACTCGGAGTGTTCAAGAAACCGAAACTAAATAGACCTCACGAAAGACCTAGATTGACCCACGACGCAGAAAGCATGGAAGAAGGGTAAGACCAGGTCACATTCATTCCTGAGCGGACTGCGTGTGGTGTGTTCTGAACTCGCGAGAGGTTCTTGACTAGGGTTTGGTTAAAAAGAAGAGGGAGGGAGGGGGTGGGAGTGTTATTATATGAAGCTGACGAGGAGAGGCGGGATTTGATGAATCGAGAGTGACAGAGAGAGTAAAAATATAAAGACGGGGGTAGAGGGAAGGTTGAGAAAATCTGTGTTGCTCTCTGAGCTGCGTGACCTCTTCTGTCCTCTGCAGCTTCTCTGCCAACACGGCCCTTATCATATCCATAGCTCTCCTCAGAGAGAGAGAGAGAGAGAGAGAGAGAGAGAGATGATGATGTATGTGTCTGAAAGAGAGAGAGAGAGAGAGAGAGATGGAGTGGGCAGTGGGCACACTAGTTTTTGCTGAGAGAATGCGTGCGGGCGTGAGGAAGTGTGCAGGGGGGTATTCCTGTGTCAGTGAAGGAGGAAAAATATAATCATCATTCGTTTATTCATGTATTAATTTGGGTTAGGAACAGAAAGTAGTATTTCCATCTGTGCGTGCGAGCGAGCCTAAACCCAGATGAGCAGACACAGCTTTCTTCTTCTTGATCTTCTGTTTTTTCCCTTTGATTTTCAAGAAAAACTTCAATTTTCACCCCCCCCCCCCCCTAGCTTCTGTGCATGGATCAATAAAAGCTGTTTCGTATCTCAAATATGTCAGCACAGTACAGCATTTTATTTTCGGGAAAGAAACATTACTATCAAGCCGGGGCACATGTGGCAAAAAAATATTTTGCGAAATTGTCGCATTATTGAGATGGATGGAAGAAATAGGTCAATAGCTTCACTATTTATAATGACAATAATGAGGAATTATTTTAGACCTCTGCAGGTTTTGTCGCTCTGACTCCCAATTTTTTTTCCGGCTCGAGTTGAATTCGAGTATCTCCAAGCTTACGTTCGAAAAATTATTTTGTTCACAAAGCTCACAAATCAAATCGAGCAATTGTGTCTTAAAAATTCATTTATAAGTAGTTAGATCGATGAGAAATGTTTGTTTTCCATTCTTTTTCAACTTTTACGTATTTGAGTTCGACCGTGTAAAATTTATTGAAAACGGGCTCAAATTTATTGAAAACTTAATTAAATTGAGCTCGAGAAGTCAAAGTTCGATCGATCTTCAGTAAGCAGTGAGCATTGCATGCTTAACTCAAGTAGACTTTGAAAATTAAATCACGGTTATTCATTTAATTAGATCAGTTATATTTGACACTCAATAAAAATTAAACATATTACTCCTGTATGTCCATTCATAAACTTGAATTAGTTATTTTATAACACTATTCAAGTGAGTATTACAAACTCGTGAAATTAAAACCAAACTAATTGTACGTAATAATCATATTAAGGTTATATCTTAATTATAATTTGTTCGAATTAAATTTGATCGATGAATGGGCAACTCGCTATCCCACTGAGGCCCGATTGGATAAAATGGCAACACGTACAAGGCTGCGCAAGTAATTTCCTTTATCGACTTGGTTCGCTCAACTTGGCGCACTCAGACTCGGCAGATATCTCATAGAAAGAAAAATAGACATAATTCCATGAAAAAAACTCTGGTCCAATCCTAACTCCACCTTGAACTTTTTTTGTTTAATAAAAATCACCAACTTTCACTATAATCCTAAATTTATCAACACATCAGAAAATTTGCCACTAATTTCTTCAAAATTATCAACATCAAGGCTAATTAAAAGTTCACCGATAGAATTTGCGTCTTCATCAACAACCTGTAAAAGCTCATATCGATAATCTTGAAAAAATCTGTGACAAGGAGGCCAATTCGAGATTAGAGAGAAAGTTGAAGATTTTTATTTAGATAAAAAAATTCGGAGCAAAATTGGGATTGGATCTGAAATTGAGAATATATTTTATAGGGAATTAGCCCAAGGAAAAATATAACATTTTTTAAGCACAGGCGTGCCTCAACAAGGACGAATATATAAAGTTTAGTTCCAATTTTGTAGAAAAACTCACATATAAATTCGACATTATCCATGCGGAATTATTGTCAAATGAACATGTTGATTTTGTTTGTTAACTGCTGTCCATTGGATAGTTTTCTCGATCCTTTAGGCTTTATATATAAATTTAATTGTTAAAAAGAAAAGAAACACGAGACCTTATCTCTCTTGCCAAATAAAAAAAAAATTATTTTTTCTTTGGCCAAATGGTTTGAGATTTGGAATGGAAAAATGACGCAAATGGATCATAAACTTTGACATAACCTGCAATGTCAATTCTCTTCTCACGCTGTTGCTATTTACTCTAATGATTATGCACCCGACCGTAATTTGTAATGCCTAATGTGTGCATGGACCCCCTTGAGTTGTATCGTAGCAAAGCAGGCGGTGAAAATCGAAACTTACGATTTACCCACTACGCTTTTGTAGGCTCCGTGCTTAGCCTCTTTTTACTTGTTTTCTTTGCTAAGCTGCAATTCACGGCAAGCGTGTGAAAATCCATGCGACGCGAACATCGTATAGTCTCGTGTTAATTTTGGTATCGTTGGAGAGAGATGTTAGGAGGCGCATGTGTTCTGTTGTTGTTGAGGATGAAGAGTTCGATTCCATCATTAATCTTGTCTTCAGCCAGGAAAACTCGGACATAGAAAGTTCCACACGATCGATGACGCGCGAGATTGAATGTGCAGAATTTGCCTAACTCTTGGTAACTAGCTGCAATGTGTCTCGAGTGGCTTTCGCCGTTGCTTTTACTCTTTAGGTCGTTTCGTTTTATCTTTCGAGAGTTATGAAATTTATGTAATCTCACTAGACATTTGACATCGGGCACTTCTCGAGATCGTCTCTCGAGCGGGAACAGAGAAGAGAAAGGGTAAAAAACAAGGGGGCCAAGAATGATTCTCCATGTTGTCTCGTTTGTCTGATTGATTCCCTCTGCATTTATTCCTCGGTGAAATGGCCGTGGTCGTCAGGGTAAAAAATCGATGGCGGGTTTCCTAATGTTGAAACAAAACAAACCAGGTCACTCCGCCACATCTTTGTCATGCGACCCCTTCCATCCCCTATCAGATATGGCAAAAAGGGTCGATTGCTTTCGACGAAATCATGGCCATCGTCGTCGCTATCTGTCCCACTTCTTCCCCCAAAATCCGGGGCACATCATTAAGAAGCAGGCCACGATGAACGATCGATGGATGGGCAACATGTTGTACATCCATCACCATCGGTTTCGGAAGTAAAAAATAAGCAAATTACGGTCGAAAATTGATTTACAAAACTTGATACTAAGCTTCATTGCGAAGCCGTGGATTTGACGTTGCATGATTCGTGCAAGTACTAGTCTCGCAGAGCAATAAATTGCACGTACTCAAAAGTTCGCCCAGATTTGCCTCAATGTCTACACGAGGAACAGAGTATAGATACGGAAAATGTCGTGCTTAGCAAGACTGATTCGTAAAATTGGTATATTGCTTGAAGTGTCGGGCTGTTTATTTGCATATAGTCCAGTCCCTTAATAGTCTAAAACTTCGTTTAATAAACCAATATTTTTAAGGTAAAAAGCGACCAAAAATTCTAAATTATACTCACTACGACACATATATCCTAAAATTTTTTTTCGCGACATAAAAAATCATAAATTTGTACCCATGTAACACATTTACTCCACGCTTGCACCGATATAACACATTTACCATAAACTTTTTTTTTACGCCAAAAACCCTAAACTCGTAACTGTGCAAAAAATTTAGGGTAAATGTGTCGCATGAGTACAATTTTAGATTTTTTGCGTCATAAAAAATTTAGTTCAGGATCTAGCAAAAAAAAATTAAGGTAAACATGTCACACGGGTATAAGTTTAAGGTTTTTTATGTACGAAATTTCTTTTTGTAATATATATGTGTCATAGTGGATATAGTTTAGGGTTTTTAATGGTTTTTTCCTATTTTTAAATCAATTTTGTGCAGGCATTCACCAGTATCTTTAGTTATTAAGCATTCGCAATCGAGGTTGTTCGCCAAGTCGGTTAGGCGTACTCTCGATTGATTTCGTGCTTCCCTTCAGCGTGAGTTCGAATCCTCAAGCTACTTATCGATCTCAAGAGATGCACATTTATGTATAGCGTAGAGCTCGAGCGGTCTCTACAATGAACGCTCATTAAACTCCCACATTTAGCCTAAATTTTTTTTTGACATAAAAAAATCCTAAACTTATATCTACGTAACACATTTACTCTTTGTCAAGATTCCGTTAAATAATTTTTCAGCTAAAATAAAGCCATTTTTATTTCACCACATGGACGTCTTGCTAATATTATTTGCTTTCTGGCATTTATATATTTAGATTTTTAACGGTTTTCATTTATAGATATTTAATGAAGGGTAAATGTCTAATAAAGGTACAAACTTAAAATTTTTGTGTCATATAAATAAGGATTTTTAGTGGCTTTTGCTCCGTTAACAATTTCAAAAAGACAATTTCAAATCTGTATTATTTCAGTAATTGAAGAAGAAATGATATTGTTTTGGTGCCTCTCTCTCTTTCTCTCTCTCTCTCTCTACTTCTTTTCAATTTTTTAGTACGCTCTTGAGGCATCGAGTCAAAAGTCCCATCCATCCATCAAACCCGTCCATCAAAGAGATTCAGAAGAGGGAGAGAGGAGGAGGAGCGGGGGAAGGGGGTGAGTGATGCTACCGGATTCGGACGCGTCATGCTCGGATTTTGAGGCTTCAGCTTCAACTTCTCCCCCCCACCCCCTGCTCATTTCGCAGGCTTTACATCAAATCACTCTCTCTCTCTCTCTTTCGCCTCCGTTCTCATTCCCCACTAACCTGATCTGCATCTCTCTCTCTCTCTCCCCCCCACAGTCACCTGGGCTTCTTTTCCTGGTTTCCGAGGTGGAGGGGGTGGCCTAGGCTTACCTCAAGAAGCCAGTTTTGCTTAAAATGGCCCCGAGCCCGCCTCCCGATCCCACCCCCATTTTTGGCTAACGTCCTGCTTTACCTTTCCCCCCCCCCCTGGTGATCGTGTAGTTTTGAGCCCGAGCAGCAGCGGCAAAAGAACATTATTCCCTCGTGCATTAAACCCTCCCT